CGAATGACAGTTACGGGTTTTATGATCATATCCATCCAATCTTCACCATCTATGAGCCATTCCAGAATGTTCTTCTTGTCAGTTTTAATTTTTTTAATCGAGGAAACGTCAGAATATGTTTCGAAGTGTAGTCGCCAGTTTGAAACTAGTGTCGTAAAGCTCGAGAAAGCTGCCTTCTGATTGGCTAATGTCGATTTCTTGTCAGTAATTTCATTGGTCGGTCAAAATTCGCGAAAGGTCGGTCTTAAGCACCTACATCTTGGAAATATGTACATCATAATGGAAGGGAGACATAATATGCTGGATGCATATACCGAGGATGACGGGGAATATAGAAATGGGTTCTGTCTGTGTGTGCGTGTTTGCGTCCCGAAATGGTTTCCGGAGCGTAACTCAGAAACCGTTAAGTATTTCTCTACGAAACTTTGCATGTCTATCAGACTCATGCTGAACTGGTGCCTTTTGCTATTTAGGAATTTTATAAATTTTTATTTTTTACGTTTCCATGGCAACAAGTTGGACTTAGGTTCTACAAGGGTGGTGTTCGTTTCCGGAGCATAACTCACAAACTGTTCAATATTTCCTTGTCAAACATTGCATGTCTATATATGAAGCACATACTGAACTGGTGCCATTTGATATTAAGGAGTTTTATAAATGTTTATTTTAGAATTTCCATTGCAGCTATTTTGACATGGCCTAAAAGAAATGTTGGGTCAATTACCTGGTTTGGGACCATAACGTGTTAAAATGGCAGGGGATATAGATGACTTCGTCGACTAGATGCTTGTTCAAAGTTGTGCTGCTTTGAGTATGTGTTTTCAGAAGTTGGGTCATTAGTTCTATAGTGCTTATAGCTTTGTTACCGAGGTAGGTAGAGGCATGAGACATTCTGTTTCAAAGTTGTATTGTTGTGCTGCATTAGGCATATTTCCCTAAATCATCCCACCGGACTGCCGGACGGCACGGATAATATGTCTACATTCTCAGATTCAGCTGCAGGTTCAGCTGTGGGATCTTCACCTTTAAGTTGTCCTTCAGACTACCCACTGTTCAACCACAAGCAGAAGGTCCGGGGTTCGATTCCCGGCCGCGTCATACCATAAGTTAAAAGATGGTACTTGTTGTTACCTTGTCTGGCGCTCGGCATTAAGGGGGCAAAACAAGGACTGGTCGGCTCGGAGTCAGTATACTGTGTCTGAGTGGGGTATTCATGTTAAACTGTGGCATGGTATCTCAGTGAGCTAGCACTATAAATCGGCATCAGTCCGGACTAGTACAAGCAGCCACACAAACACACGTACATACACATCGCTACATAAGTGCAATAATCTTGGACACGATGTTAAACCCAATTTCACCTCACCTCAACCACTCGCCCCAGGCTCCAGGGATGCACGGATATGTTACAATATTCTATTGGTAGCATTTTACCAAAATCCTGGACACCGTCAGAGGACTTCCTGTATGGGGAATTCATGGACCCCAGTGACTATTTGGAACCTCAGCGCCAACATGGTTCCCGTCTGGGGACATCTCACAACCACTCGGCCTCAGATTATCGGTAAGAATATTCTCCACCTGATACGTCTACATCTAACTGCCTGGAAATTATCGCATTAAAGATGCAAGCCTCTGAATTCTCAGCCTCCTCTGCTGTTGCTCGACCTTCAACCTATCTTGTTTATGACAACAGATGGGACAAATTTGTCCAGTGGAGAAGACGATCTGGTTTAAATGATACCCAAGTCACCATCCCAATGGTTGCTGATTTCCTCTTACATCTGACAAGATAATAAGTTAAGCCATGGGACAATTGAAGGTTATAGATCCGCAGGCTGTCTGAAGTCAACTATAGACGCAAACTTTATGGCCAAGCACAAGATACTCCTCCTATCCTTGGTTCTATTGATTAGCTCTTGGACACATGTGATAGGACTACATGTATCACAGAGTTACCGGAAGTGACATCACAAATTGGAAGAATTGAGATCGGAAGTGATGTTCTGACTGGAAGTGTCATATATGCAGTCCATGGACCGGAAGTGACGTCATAGAGACAGAAAGTGATGCAATGGCGAAATGACGTCATTTATACAGGCATTGAAGTCATGTCCGAAAAGTATGTGACCGGAAATGACGTCAAAACCTAAGTTAATGAGATAATGATGTCTTAGAAGGTTCTAGAGACAATCATCAACAAGAATATCTGCAACATAACAGTAGTTCAAGTGAAGGTATTACATATTGTCTTCACGATTTTCAAGTCTTTCTAGGTGAAGAATGGGAAGACACCTCATTAGGATCTGAAGCAGTCCAAGGATGTTAAAATATCATTCTACTAGATTTACTGTCAACAAAACAAGGGAGTGTACAAGAGGCAGAACCTGTCTGTTCCCTCTGGTATATTCTTGCAATGATGTAATAGAGATAGATGATCCGTAAGATTTTCAAAACAATAATTATCATTGTTAATAATTCAAGAATACTACTTCTATTACATCAGAAATACTCCCTCCCACCTCCCAAGTGGATTTTCCTGTCTTTGCACATGGAAGAGGATGTCCAAAGTGCTATTAGGAATACAACTAATAATGTATAGTTGACAGTGAAGAAGACTTCTGTTGAAAATCTGAAAGTTTTGTTTTAGTGTGATTGCAGCCAAAATACAGGTTTGATGGCAATGATGGAATAGAGGTAGTATTCTTAGAATTAATGACAATAATTATTGTTTTGATGTCCCTATTAATTTGTTTTTTTTTCAAATATAAAAACAAACACAGTTTATTTCTCAGTATGTTTTAATATATACACTTTTTACATATCAACAAAGTTCTTTAATTAATGAAATCTTGAAAATTGTTTCCTGACCAATCAAAAATCAACTGTGATGATCCTTATTGTTCATGAATGCAAACATGTTGATCAGCACCACTTCAATCTTACATAAATAAATGATTTAAGGGAGGTCAGCCTCCTAGCCCATGGACTCAAGCCTGTGGTTCCCAAGAGACACCAGGGTGTCATTTCCTGAAAGCCTCTAAGCGCTACGGCATACTTATCCATATCGTAAACCTCATCATAATTTTGAAGGCTGTTTCGCAAAGCTCTCTTAATTTAATGGAACTTTCTACTGATTCCGTTTTTGTGTTCCCTTTCTTCAGAGGTACAAGTGTTGAGGATGTTGAGATAGCTTACGATCCGCGAAGTTCCGGGGTAAAATAGGTCTTCAGCAACCCATGTATGCCGTAAAAGGCGACTATGCCTGTCGTTATAGGCGACTGACGGGATCGGGTGGTCAGGCTCGCTGATTTAGTTGATGCATGTCATCATATTCCAATTGCGTGGATCGATGCTCATGATATCAATCACTGGATTGTCTGGTCCAGACTCCAGGCGTAAAACAACAAACCAAAACCAAAAGATAGCTTACGGCAGGGGATCTTATAATTCAGTGGATCAGGAACTGTCTCTGTGGAAAAACAATCATATCGACAGGTGCCCTTTTGCTTCCAGGTCCCATTGCTATGTAAATATGTCGTATGGACTTGCAAAATCCTAGCTTAAGTTTGATTTTACAACACTGTTAAGAGGGTTTTATGAAACGGTTGCAAGGCGATCCCTACGAGGGTTGTTGCGGTTAAACTGTGTTGTAGCAGTTAGGAGGTCGTACTGGTGAGAGGCTTTCATGAAACAGCACCCAGGGAAGGAGAAGGTGGGTGGACACCCTGGTATGATTCACCACTGAATGTTAACATGGTCTAATACCCCCTTGAACTCCTCCTTATACATCCTGGAACCAACACTGGGCCTTTAATATGCTTGGACTGTCACAAGTCCCAAAGGCAAAAGGATAAGTGAATAATATATAAATTACCCCCCAATAAATATAGCAGATCAAACGAAGTCCACAGAGTGCTATGTGTGTATTGACTGAAGTGTATTGAGACTGCTATGCTGTCAACTCTGTGTCCATATTCAAGGGGGCGTGGGTGGCCCAGTCGTCTAAGGCGCCGTGATTCGCTGTGCAGAGTTGCGTCCCTTGGGCACGCCAGAAACCTATGATTGTGGGTTCGAATCCCGGTTCGCCCCAATTATGTTTCTAGGTTTGTCAGCACCATACCCATACTCGTGGGTTTCACCAAAGTGGTAAACGTCTTATACCTGTATCACTTCTGGCTTTCCTCCCATATTTAGCTGACACGCCGTGATATAACTGGAACACTATTAAAAGCGGCGTTAATCCAAACTCACTCACTCACTCACTCACTCCATATTCAAACCCATCATGTATTTCTCGGTGAATTCAACCATAACTTTGTTACACTGTTTGAAACTAAAACCATGAGTATGACAGATTAACTATAGTCACATGAAAAAATAGGGTGTTCTCTAACTTCTTTTGAGTAGTATACTTCACTCGATCATAGAGATGTTCTCACATTTCCGTGTCGAGCACATCACAACAATACAACCTGGTCATAATTTAACAACCGTCACAATAAACAATACAATATTATTTATACTGGTTCATACTCTTGTTCATATTTATACCAAGTTCGATCGTATATTATGTACAAAACAGACATTCAATATTGCACTTACATCTGATACATAAATAACAATATGCAACATTTGGATTCAAATTGGAATGATTGCACACTCAGCATATAAACAATTAATAAAAAACGGGATTCTGAAATTAAATTACAATAATTAATTTGATTTACAAATTCAGTAATCCCCTTCTTCCCTCTTTGGTTTGAATTTATTATCCAGGAAATTAAATACATGATCAATAATAATTGGACACAACCATTAAGAATTATCTAAGAGGGTGCAATGACTCGCTGTGCAGAGTTGCGTCCCTATGATTGTGGGTTCGAATTCCGGTTCGCCCCGATTATGTTTCTAGTTTTGTCAGCACCAAACCCGTGCTCGTGGGTTTCACCAAAGTGGTAAACCTCTGAGACCTGCATCACTTCGGGCTTTCCTCCCACATTACGTTTACACGCCGCGATATAACTGGAATACTGTTAAAAGCGACGTTCAACCCAACTCACTTACTCACTATTGCAAGTAGATGTAGTAAAATCTAAATATTTTTAAAATTTGTATACTTATTTGGCATTACTCCTTTAGGCATCCTTAGACATAGTAATGCAGGACGTCAAAAAGCTACAAAACTTATAGTTACACAATATATGATCAGTTAAATTATTTCAGAATTTTCCTAGTTAATAGCTACATAGATGCAATTTTTTTCATAAAATAAAATGAAGTCCAACATAAAAAGTAAATATTAATTATTATTACACTAATAGTTTCTTTGTCTACAATAACACCTCCACTGAAATGTCTGCAATGATTTGTTTATTAAACCTATTGTACCAGTAACAAAAACTGAAACTAAAATTTACCAAAATGTGAATCCAACTCAACCAAATTGATCCCAAATAAATTCCTCAGGACCTTGTAATCGGTACTGACTCTGGCCCTGATTTTATTTTATTTATTTCCAAACTTTGATGACTCCGTCTCGTGATCCTGTGATGACGAGACACTGTGACGACTGACAGATGTTGACGTCGCTGATGATGTCGTGATGGCCGGTGGGAGGAGCTTCAGGAACACGTCTCGGGATGTCGTCGGAGTTGGCTTGTTTCTTTGTGCAGACTTCCTGAATCACCTCCGTACCGTCTATCAGCTGAGACCTGCCGAAAAACAAGCATCATACAGTCAAGTCTCGTTAATCCGACACTCGTTTATCTGACAATCGGCTTTATCCGACACAAATGATGGGAACCCATTTAATCAGTGCTATTTAGACCCGTTAATCCGACAGTCTCGCACTCCGACTCCGACACACCTAATTTGCAACGAAATGCTGAAATCACTCATTAATCAGTCTTGTTAATCTGACACAGCGATCAGCGTACTCCGTGGTCATCTGCCCGCGAGTACACAGACCTGTGTTTTGATGCAAGACGAGTCGGCGAGGAGCTGCATATTTCAACGGCTGCAGAGATAAACTTGCTTAACAATAAACAATTACTGCTTTAAAGAAACAAAACAGGATTAATCACATGCCTAGATTACCTCAATCTCATTAAAATCGGATACAAGTTCCCGCTACCGCTGAGGACATCCCATTACAGGTCACGTCAGAACGACCTTTCACCAACGAAAAAGCGGCTTTCTTAAGCATTGTGGCACTAGTTTCAAATTAGCGACTTCCATTCCAGACTATGCTTTAAAAAGTATTTCGAAAGTTGTTAAATTTTCGATCACAAACTTTGATACGACCAAATTTCGTTTATCCGACATACTCGTTAATCCGACACAATCATATGCAACCAACCATGTCAGATTAAGGGGACTTGACTGTATATTAAACTATTCATTTCACTTGAACTGTTTGAACATTTCATCCTGAAACTGTTGACATTTTGACATTGGTCTACCACTACTAACTATTGCCATAGGAGACATTGGGCAAGGTAACATTACTACCTTTAGCTTTAAGAGATGTTGGGAAAGTCTACCACTACAATGTGTAACTTTTGGAGATGTTGAGTAAGTCTACCCATCCATCCTGTAGCTAAAGGGGACGTTTGGCAGACTACCGCTCCAAACTATAGCTAGAAGAGACACTGGGCAAGTCTATCTCTCCTACCTGTAGCTATAGGAGACGTTGGGCAAGTCTACTGCTCCATGACTCATGATGAATGAGTTAGCAGGGTATGTCATTGGGCAAGGCAACCATTACTACCTATAGCTTTAAGAGATGTTTGGCAAGTCTACCACTCCTACCTGTAGCTATAGGAGACATTGGGCAAGTCTACTGCTCCAAACTATAGCTATACTATACTGGGTAAGTCTACCACTCCTACCTATAGCTATAAGAGACACTGGGCAAGTCTACCACTCCTACCTGTAGCTATAAGAGACGGGCAAGTCTACCTCTCCTACCTGTAGCTATAAGAGACGTTGGGCAAGTCTACCTCCCCTACTTGTAGCTATAAGAGACATTGGGCAAGTCTACCTCTCCTACCTGTAGCTATAAGAGACGTTGGGCAAGTCTACCTCCCCTACTTGTAGCTATAAGAGACGTTGGGCAAGTCTACCTCTCCTACCTGTAGCTATAGGAGACGTTGGGCAAGTCTACTGCTCCATGACTCATGATGAATGAGTTGGCAGGGTATGTCAGGTCCCAGAATCTGACTCTCATGTCTGAGCCTCCCGTCAACAGGAACAGTTTGGTGTCTGTGGCTGCGATGTGCATCCCATGCACGGCATGATTGTTGTTCTGTAAATAGAAAATATCTCATTATCTGCTGGAAAACAGTGAAGTTTACCCTGTCCTTCACCTGTGTTACAAAGGGATGGTGGGGGGTGGTGGCTGCATCTACCCGTGTCACGGAGAGGGGAGCTGCACCTACCTGTGTCACAGAGAGGGGAGGAGCTGCACCTGCCTGTGTCACAGAGAGGGGGAGCTGCACCTACCTGTGTCACGGAGAGGGGGAGCTGCACCTACCTGTGTCACGGAGAGGGGGAGCTGCACCTACCTGTGTCACGGAGAGGGGGAGCTGCACCTACCTGTGTCACGGAGAGGGGGAGCTGCACCTACCTGTGTCACCGAGAGGGGGGAGCTGCACCTACCTGTGTCACAGAGAGGGGAGTTGCAGCTACCTGTGTCACAGAGGGGGGGAGAGCTGCACCTACCTGTGTCACAGAGAGGGAGGAGCTGGACCTACCTGTGTCACAGAGAGGGAGGAGCTGGACCTACTTGTGTCACAGAGAGGGGGAGAGTTGCACCTACCTGTGTCACAGAGAGGGAGGAGCTGGACCTACCTGTGTCACAGAGAGGGAGGAGCTGGACCTACCTGTGTCACAGAGAGGGGGAGAGTTGCACCTACCTGTGTCACAGAGAGGGAGGAGCTGGACCTACCTGTGTCACAGAGAGGGGGAGAGTTGCACCTACCTGTGTCACGGTGAGTGGGGAGCTGCACCTACCTGTGTCACAGAGAGGGAGGAGCTGGACCTACCTGTGTCACAGAGAGGGAGGAGTTGCACCTACCTGTGTCACAGAGATAGAGGAGCTGCACCTACCTGTGTCACAGAGAGAGGGGAGCTGCACCTTCCTGTGTCACAGAGATAGAGGAGCTGCACCTACCTGTGTCACAGAGATAGAGGAGCTGCACCTACCTGTGTCACAGAGAGAGGGGAGCTGCACCTACCTGTGTCACAGAGATAGAGGAGCTGCACCTACCTGTGTCACAGAGAGAGGGGAGCTGCAACTACCTGTGTCACAGAGATAGAGGAGCTGCACCTACCTGTGTCACAGAGAGAGGGGAGCTGCACCTACCTGTGTCACAGAGAGGGGGGAGCTGCACCTACCTGTGTCACGGTAGTGGGGAGCTGCACCTACCTGTGTCACGGTAGTGGGGAGCTGCACCTACCTGTGTCACAGAGAGAGGGGAGTTGCACCTACCTGTGTCACAGAGAGGGGGGAGCTGCACCTACCTGTGTCACAGAGAGGGGAGTTGCACCTACCTGTGTCACAGAGATAGAGGAGCTGCTTCTACCTGTGTCACAGAGAGAGGGGAGCTGCACCTACCTGTGTCACAGAGAGAGGGGAGCTGCACCTACCTGTGTCACAGAGATAGAGGAGCTGCTCCTACCTGTGTCACAGAGATAGAGGAGCTGCACCTACCTGTGTCACAGAGAGGGGGAGCTGCACCTACCTGTGTCACGGTAGTGGGGAGCTGCACCTACCTGTGTCACAGAGATAGAGGAGTTGCACCTACCTGTGTCACAGAGATAGAGGAGCTGCACCTACCTGTGTCACAGAGAGGGGGAGCTGCACCTACCTGTGTCACAGAGGGGGGGACCGCCTCCGTGGTCTAGTGGTAGAGCGTCCGCCCGGAGAGCGGAAGGTCCAGGGTTCGATCCCGGGCCGCGTCATACAAAAAGACGTTAAAAGATTGTACTTGTTGTTACCCTGTCTGGCGCTCGGCATTAAGGGGCTAAAACAAGGACTGGTCGGCTCGGAGTCAGTATACTGTGTCTGAGTGGGGTATCCATGTTAAACTGCGGCATGGTATCTCAGTGAGCTAGCACTATAAATCGGCATCAGTCCGGACTAGTACAAGCAGCCACACACATACACGTGCATGCACGTCGCTATATAAGTGCAATAATCTTGGACGCGACGTTAAACCCAATTTCACCTCACCTCACAGAGGGGGGAGTTGCACCTACCTGTGTCACGGTAGTGGGGAGCTGCACCTACCTGTGTCACGGAGAGGGGGGAGTTGCACCTACCTGTGTCACAGAGAGGGAGAGAGTTGCACCTACCTGTGTCACAGAGATAGAGGAGCTGCACCTACCTGTGTCACAGAGAGGGGGAGTTGCACCTACCTGTGTCACAGAGGGGGGGGGAGTTGCACCTACCTGTGTCACAGAGATAGAGGAGCTGCACCTACCTGTGTCACAGAGAGAGAGGAGTTGCACCTACCTGTGTCACAGAGAGAGAGGAGTTGCACCTACCTGTGTCACAGAGAGAGAGGAGTTGCACCTACCTGTGTCAAAGAGAGGGAGGAGCTGCACCTACCTGTGTCACAGAGAGGGGGAGCTGCACCTACCTGTGTCACAGAGGGGGGGGAGTTGCACCTACCTGTGTCAAAGAGAGGGAGGAGCTGGACCTACCTGTGTCACAGAGAGGGGGAGCTGCACCTACCTGTGTCACAGAGGGGGGGGAGTTGCACCTACCTGTGTCACAGAGAGGGAGGAGCTGGACCTACCTGTGAAACGGAGAGGGGAGGAGCTGCACTGGCCCACAGAGACTTCTGTCTGGCGCCGGTCTCAACATCCCACATGGACACTTCGTTGTTCCACTGGAAAGCTGACACGATCCACGGCTGATCCTTGGGATGCATGATGAGCTTCCGAACACGTGCATCTGCAAATTGAACATGGTGTCCTTAATTGCATGTTTAATGTCATATTTCATGGATTAGTCAGCAATCTGAAACTTTGATTTGCAAGAAATATTGATATCACAGGCTGAATTGTACACATCAAAACCTGAAAGACACTTTAATCTGTATGTAAAATGATAATAGTTATCATAAGGTAGGCCTGAGGTAACTTCATTTTAAATCAAAAGTGATGAATTTTGTTGCATTTCCTTCGAAAATAACCAAAAAGACTGCAGTAGAGGGTCTTAATATCATCCATTTTTAACTATGTCTTGTATTTTTGTGGTATTATTCTACACATGACGGCAGCCTGTAAATTATTGATTCTTGAGCAAACATTGGGGTGAACTATCTTGTGTCTTACTTGCAGGGTGGGTGATGGGTTAACTATCCTGTGTCTTACTGGCAGGAGGGGGTGATGGGTTAACTATCCTCTGTCTTACTGGCAGGGTGGGTGATGGGTTAACTATCCTGTGTCTTACTGGCAGGGTGGGGGTGATGGGTTAACTATCCTGTGTCTTACTGGCAGGGTGGGGTGATGGGTTAACTATCCTGTGTCTTACTGGCAGGGTGGGGGTGATGGGTAAACTATCCTGTGTCTTACTTGCAGGAGGGGGTGATGGGTTAACTATCCTGTGTCTTACTTGCAGGAGGGGGTGATGGGTTAACTACCCTGTGTTTTACTGGCACGGTGGGTGATGGGTTAACTATCCTGTGTCTTACTTGCAGGTGGGGGTGATGGGTTAACTATCCTGTGTCTTACTTGCAGGAGGGGGTGATGGGTTAACTATCCTGTGTCTTACTTGCAGGAGGGGGTGATGGGTTAACTATCCTGTGTCTTACTGGCAGGAGGGGGTGATGGGTTAACTATCCTGTGTCTTACTGGCAGGAGGGGGTGATGGGTTAACTATCCTGTGTCTTACTGGCAGGGTGGGGTGATGGGTTAACTATCCTGTGTCTTACTGGCAGGGTGGGGTGATGGGTTAACTATCCTGTGTCTTACTGGCAGGGTGGGGTGATGGGTTAACTATCCTGTGTCTTACTGGCAGGAGGGGGTGATGGGTTAACTATCCTGTGTCTTACTGGCAGGAGGGGGTGATGGGTTAACTATCCTGTGTCTTACTGGCAGGGTGGGGTGATGGGTTAACTATCCTGTGTCTTACTGGCAGGAGGGGGTGATCGGTTAACTATCCTGTGTCTTACTGGCAGGAGGGGGTGATGGGTTAACTATCCTGTGTCTTACTTGCAGGAGGGGGTGATGGGTTAACTATCCTGTGTCTTACTTGCAGGAGGGGGTGATGGGTTAACTACCCTGTGTTTTACTGGCACGGTGGGTGATGGGTTAACTATCCTGTGTCTTACTTGCAGGTGGGGGTGATGGGTTAACTATCCTGTGTCTTACTTGCAGGAGGGGGTGATGGGTTAACTATCCTGTGTCTTACTTGCAGGAGGGGGTGATGGGTTAACTATCCTGTGTCTTACTTGCAGGAGGGGGTGATGGGTTAACTATCCTGTGTCTTACTGGCAGGGTGGGGTGATGGGTTAACTATCCTGTGTCTTACTTGCAGGAGGGGGTGATGGGTTAACTATCCTGTGTCTTACTGGCAGGGTGGGGTGATGGGTTAACTATCCTGTGTCTTACTGGCAGGGTGGGGTGATGGGTTAACTATCCTGTGTCTTACTGGCAGGGTGGGGTGATGGGTTAACTATCCTGTGTCTTACTGGCAGGAGGGGGTGATGGGTTAACTATCCTGTGTCTTACTGGCAGGAGGGGGTGATGGGTTAACTATCCTGTGTCTTACTGGCAGGGTGGGGTGATGGGTTAACTATCCTGTGTCTTACTGGCAGGAGGGGGTGATCGGTTAACTATCCTGTGTCTTACTGGCAGGAGGGGGTGATGGGTTAACTATCCTGTGTCTTACTGGCAGGAGGGGGTGATGGGTTAACTATCCTGTGTCTTACTGGCAGGAGGGGGTGATGGGTTAACTATCCTGTGTCTTCCTGGCAGGAGGGGGTGATGGGTTAACTATCCTGTGTCTTACTGGCAGGAGGGGGTGATGGGTTAACTATCCTGTGTCTTCCTGGCAGGAGGGGGTGATGGGTTAACTATCCTGTGTCTTACTGGCAGGAGGGGGTGATGGGTTAACTATCCTGTGTCTTCCTGGCAGGAGGGGGTGATGGGTTAACTATCCTGTGTCTTACTGGCAGGGTGGGGTGATGGGTTAACTATCCTGTGTCTTACTGGCAGGGTGGGGTGATGGGTTAACTATCCTGTGTCTTACTGGCAGGGTGGGGTGATGGGTTAACTATCCTGTGTCTTACTGGCAGGGTGGGGGTGATGGGTTATCTATCCTGTGTCTTACTGGCAGGGTGGGGTGATGGGTTAACTATCCTGTGTCTTACTGGCAGGGTGGGTGATGGGTTAACTATCCTGTGTCTTACTGGCAGGGTGGGGTGATGGGTTAACTATCCTGTGTCTTACTGGCAGGGTGGGGTGATGGGTTAACTATCCTGTGTCTTACTTGCAGGGTGGGGGTGATGGGTTAACTATCCTGTGTCTTACTGGCATGAGGGGGTGATGGGTTAACTATCCTGTGTCTTACTGGCAGGGTAGGTGATGGGTTAACTATTCTGTGTCTTAATGGCAGGGTGGGGTGATGGGTTAACTATCCTGTGTCATAATGGCAGGGTGGAGGATCGGTTAACTATCCTGTGTCTTACTTGCAGGAGGGGGTGATGGGTTAACTATCCTGTGTCTTACTGGCAGGGTGGGGGTGATGGGTTAACTATCCTGTGTCTTACTGGCAGGGTGGGGTGATGGCTTAACTATCCTGTGTCTTACTGGCAGGGTGGGGTGATGGGTTAACTATCCTGTGTCTTACTGGCAGGAGGGGGTGATGGGTTAACTATCCTGTGTCTTACTTGCAGGAGGGGGTGATGGGTTAACTATCCTGTGTCTTACTGGCAGGGTGGGGTGATGGGTTAACTATCCTGTGTCTCACTGGCAGGGTGGGGTGATGGGTTAACTATCCTGTGTCTTACTGGCAGGGTGGGGGTGATGGGTTAACTATCCTGTGTCTTACTGGCAGGGTGGAGGATGGGTTAACTATCCGTGTCTTACAGGCAGGGTGGAGGATGGGTTAACTATCCTGTGTCTTACTGGCAGGCGGGGTTGATGGGTTAACTATCCTGTGTCTTACTGGCAGGGCGGGGTTGATGGGTTAACTATCCTGTGTCTTACTGGCAGGGCGGGGTTGATGGGTTAACTATCCTGTGTCTTACTGGCAGGGCGGGGTTGATGGGTTAACTATCCTGTGTCTTACTGGCAGGGTGGGTGATGGGTTAACTATCCTGTGTCTTACTGGCAGGGTGGGTGATGGGTTAACTATCCTGTGTCTGACTGGCAGGGCGGGGTTGATGGGTTAACTATCCTGTGTCTTACTGGCAGGAAAGGGTGATGGGTTAACTATCCTGTGTCTTACTGGCAGGGTGGGGTGATGGGTTAACTATCCTGTGTCTTACTTGCAGGGTGGGGTGATGGGTTAACTATCCTGTGTCTTACTGGAAGGAGGGGGTGATGGGTTAACTATCCTGTGTCTTACTGGCAGGGTGGGGTGATGGGTTAACTATCCTGTGTCTTACTGGCAGGGTGGGGGTGATGGGTTAACTATCCTGTGTCTTACTGGAAGGAGGGGGTGATGGGTTAACTATCCTGTGTCTTACTGGAAGGAGGGGGTGATGGGTTAACTATCCTGTGTCTTACTTGCAGGGTGGGGTGATGGGTTTAAGCATCCTGTGTCTTACTGGAAGGAGGGGGTGATGGGTTAACTATCCTGTGTCTTACTGGCAGGGTGGGGTGATGGGTTAACTATCCTGTGTCTTACTGGCAGGGTGGGGGTGATGGGTTAACTATCCTGTGTCTTACTGGCAGGAGGGGGTGATGGGTTAACTATCCTGTGTCTTACTGGCAGGGTGGGTGATGGGTTAACTATCCTGTGTCTTACTGGCAGGGTGGGGTGATGGGTTAACTATCCTCTGTCTTACTGGCAGGGTGGGGTGATGGGTTAACTATCCTCTGTCTTACTGGCAGGGTGGGGTGATGGGTTAACTATCCTGTGTCTTACTGGCAGGGCGGGGTTGATGGGTTAACTATCCTGTGTCTTACTGGCAGGGTGGGGTGATGGGTTAACTATCCTCTGTCTTACTGGCAGGGTGGGGTGATGGGTTAACTATCCTGTGTCTTACTGGCAGGGCGGGGTTGATGGGTTAACTATCCTGTGTCTTACTGGCAGGAAAGGGTGATGGGTTAACTATCCTGTGTTTTACTGGCACGGTGGGTGATGGGTTAACTATCCTGTGTCTTACTGGCAGGGTGGGGTGATGGGTTAACTATCCTGTGTCTTACTGGCAGGGTGGGTGATGGTGTTGATGGGCAGCTGGAACCTCATGTCCCAGCACACCTGGGCTCCACTGCTGGTCCCCAGGGCCAGCCAACACTGGGTGTGATTCACGGCAAAGCTGGTGATGAGGCCATCCCGGGGGTTGTTCTTCAGCTCCCATACATTCCGGTTAGCTCGAAGGTCCCAACCAATCAGGTGGCCGTTCACTGTTGCATACGCCAACACTGACTGAGCCCCTGAAATGGAGTGTTAATGAATTAACCATAATGATGATGTCACGCTATTGTTGTTGCAGTTGGTTCTGAGCCATGAATTCACTGGCCATTCTGAAGGTTCATGTTAACATGTTAACATGTGAAAGTGACCAGAGGTCATTATGCAACATTAGGCTTTGGTTCTCAGGCAATGGATTTTGAAAATATAGTGCGGGCGGAGGGGGGAGGGGGTTGTTGAAACTAGAATGTAACCAAATAAAGAATTGTGTACAATCAAAGTGAAAATTGCCTCTCAACATAAATGTATTCCTTTATTTAAGGATTTAAAAAAAAAATATTTAAAATGGAAATAAAAACGAAATGCCCACCAAACTTTATGATGATGCGGGCGGTGCCTGAGAACCAAGACTATTATTTTTTTGCCTTATAGAGAAATGATATATCATCCATAATCATCTTTTATAATTTATTACAAACATGAAAGGCGAAATTTGAGTAGAAAATGTTTCCCAACACTGCCTAAAATCATAGATATAGAAGCATGAGAAGCAACGTATTGTAACAAGCCTTACCTGTATCAAAGTGAGTAAGGTCGACCACATGACCATGTTTGGCGATGTCCACGTTAATCTGTTCCTCTGGTTGGACTCTGTCTGTTGTTATCCTGAAGGAATGAGAAGTTTGTCAGTACATTTGCTACTTGGGCTGGGTTCAGTCCAAATTTCTTACCCAGGTACCTGACCCCCTATTATCTGACCCTACCCAGGGTGCCCACTGCAGGTCTCAAGAGTCGGGTACAAAATGTCTGAATGTCAATTATTTTACTCAAGCCCTGGCAATAACTGTTTTGATATACATATAAAATGATCTGATTATGCACATGCTGAAGTTGACTGAAGATTTATCTTTACTCAAACATTTAAAAGTCAGGGGGAATGTAGGCACTGTCAGAAAGAAATGTGAACATTGGCAAGTTGTAGTGTAACCATGAAGATTATTGTTAGTGTTATGAAACAGTATATCACGTGACTAACTGAGTTACGACCGCCTCCGTGGTCTAATGGTAGAGCGTCCGCCCGGAGAGCGGAAGGTCCGGGGTTTGATTCCCGGCCGTGTCAAGGACTGGTCGGCTCAGAGTCAGTATACTTTGTCTGAGCAGGGTATTCATGTTAAACTGCGGCATGGTATCTCAGTGAGCTAGCACTATAAATCGGCATCAGTCCGGACTCGTACAAGCAGCCACATAAACACATACATGTACATGCACGTCGCCATATAAGTGCAATAATCTTGGACGCGACGTTAAACCCAATTTTCACCTCACTAACTGAGATACCCATCCCAGCCCTCGTTGTTACATCACCCAGGATAAGGGTGTTCCTCCTGTTCCTCCTGCACTGTTGCAGTCAAGCCAATTTTGAAGGTAGCCAAAAGCATTTGAAATTATCTTTTATCAAATAACTATTATATATACAAGTCATAGCACTAGTCTTGGAATTGTATATAAGTAGAAACTGTACTCAAACAATGATACAATTTATGTTACTAGATTATATGGGTATATCCTTGCTTCTCCAAAAAACTATCAACTAAAATAAAATACTAATTACATTAATTTATGTACATGTATCTCTGTTCATTGTTGACTTTAGGAGGAATTATTTGCGAGTACAATTTGTAGCAGACATGTTTATTTTTGTGTGTAGCAATAGAATTAAGTCGCCACTAGATATTTTTCAAGGTAGTCATTTGGCTACCTCTGAATTTTAGACAGAAGACAAATTGAAATTTAGGTCGCATTAGCGACCGTTTTAGTCGTAATTTTGAGGCCTCTACAGTGATTTTTTTTGTTTCTTTCGGTGCACACATTTCAGTTTGTTGTTGCATTGTTTGAGATGCTACTTGTGATGGTAACTGAGTTAACGCAAAATATATTGATGGAGTTTTCAAAGAATATCATAGATTAAATATCACCTTTAGTTATGAAAATCCATTTTTTTAATATAACACATATAATAGGCCAAGCTGAAAACAATAGGGCAATATGTTCATCCTATAAATGATGTAAAATATGATCAACCATGGCAGGATACTGAACTTCACATTTGGAATCCAAACTTGGGATTTCTATGTTCATCTCAAGACAATGTGGATGAAACTTACTTGTTGACGTGTATCGTGCCATTGTCTGATGCGGAGGCTACGGAGTGTGATGCCTCACAGAACGTCAGGCACTTGATCCTACCACCTGCAAACAGAAGAGAGTGGTGTGGTTCAGTTAGATATCAATACTAAAGATTCTGCTGGTATGACATTGTGTTCCCTGTGAAGTTCAATCTCATTAAAATCAGATCATAGTTCTCACTACCGCTAAACAAGGATCTGATGACATCCAATTATGGGTCAAGTCAGACTGACCTTGTGCGATCTTTGACCGACCAATGGAATAACCAATCAGAAGGCAGCTTTCTCGTGCTTTACGGCACAAATTTCAAATTGACGACTACGCTTCGAAACATATTTTGACAAATTCTCGATTACAAATTTGAAACCTGAACAAAAAAACATTCTGGAATGACTAATAGATGGTCTAGATTGTAAGGACTCAGTCGTTAAACCCTAACTATCGTTCGGAATACCCCATGTTAAAGTTGTTGAGATTGCATGATTAGAAATCACATTCAGACGGTCGGATGAAAGGTTGTTCTGACATGACCACTAATGGGATGTCTTCAGATCTTTGTTTTACGGTAGCGAGAACTAAGGTCTGATTTTAATGAGATTGCTGTGAAGTTAAGTCACTGTGTATATGTGTGTTCTAATGACATGTCTTCACTGAGCTCCAGCCAAGCTGTGTATTTGCATAAAATATGCAAACTAAATTTCCAATACCGATTCAAAGATGAGTTGCTTGCATACAAATGGGCATGAAAATTGTTACCATGTAGGGGGCGGGCGGGTAGCCTAGTGGTTAAAGCGTTCGCTCGTCACGCCGAAGACCCGGGTTCGATTCCCGACATGGGTACAATGTGTGAAGCCTATTTCCGGTGTCCCCTGCCGTGATATTGCTGGAATATTGCTAAAAGCGGCGTAAAACCATACTCACTCACTCACTGTTACCATATAGTGTCAAATTCTATAATATATAATACTATCATATGTTTTGGTAATATTTTTGAAGCATCTTTTACCTACTAACATTAACATTATATAGGCGAATGCTGAATTTTGAACAGTAAACAATCTAGTGTATGCAAAAAACAAAAAAATCCATTCCTTGCTGGTACAATCAACTGGGTTCTGAAACTTTCTGTCTCAGCAAACATAAATCTCTTGACACATTCCATCAGCCAATCTCAATAAAATCCGATTTTGTACTCTTGATCCGAGGGCACCTCCATAAGGTGAGGTGAAATGGGGTTTAATGTCGCGTCCAAGATTATTGCACTTATATATATAACGTGCATGCATGTGTATGTGTGTGTGTGTGACTGCTTGTACTAGTCCGGACTGATGCCGATTTAAAGTGCTAGCACACTGAGATACCATGCCGCAGTTTAACATGAATACCCCACTCAGACACAGTATACTGACTCCGAGCCGACCAGTCCTTGTTTTAGCCCCTTAATGCCGAGCGCCAGACAGGGTAACAACAAGTACCATCTTTTAACGTCTTTTGGTATGACGCGGCTGGGGATCTAAACCCTGGACCTTCCGCTCTCCGGGTGGACGCTCTACCATTAGACCACGGAGGCGGTGCACCTCCATAAAAGATCAGGCCATGAGGCCGTTACCTGGCGGTCTTACCTTGCTTGGTGAGAGTGTGTTTTGACCTGTTGACCACACTCTTCCCCTCTAGCCTGGAGCACTCCCACAGCTTCACCGAGCCGTCGTTAGAACATGTGGCAAAGTAGCTGTGATCATGGCACACCTGGATTCTGCAGGCAAAACAACATCCTTGTTATAACCCAACACAGTCTTTTTATTGTAAATTCTACCATGAATTTGCATTTTACTCGATTCTGATTGGTCAATCAGAGGCTAATAAATCACAATAAACCCCCTCTGATTGAAACAGCTGGTTTGACGGCCGCATCACCACGGAAGCAAATATTCATAGAATAGTACTATTTTCAGTCATTTTCCGTAGGCATATTTAAATAATTATATCTACAATTACAGGTTACAAAATGCACAGATGCGGTTACTACAATTTTCAAAGTATGTGTGGCAATACATTTCATGCAGAAAAACAAGACAGAAATCAACAAAGGGAATGTATTGTTTGTTGTTCAATGCTGCAGTGAGCTATATTCCAGCTGTATCACGGCGGTATGGATATAATCAAGCATTTTGCTTTCTTTAACGCCTATGCTGTACTAGTCCATATTCAGCATCAGACTATAAAAAAAAGACGTATATGTAAGGCTGTATTCGCCATGTTTATTGGTAAGCTTGTTACCTGTTGACTGCAGCCCTGTGCTCCTGGAGATGTGCTACCAGCAGACCTCGAGGCTTCCAGTTGTCGGGCGGTGGCCGGCTGTCCCAGGCGATGCCCTCAAGGAGGTCCTTGGTGAGAACATCCACCTTGTACTGCTCCCGCCGCTTGTGGACCAGGCCGCGCAGATCCCACTTACATGACGCATATCGAGCTGGAAGTACATTGTGATTTTGGTTTTGTTTTGTTTTATTTGTTGTTTAACACTGCACTCAGCAATTCAGTGATTGATATTGTGAACAGCGATCCAGGCCATCCACATGCTATCAACCAGTTCACCGAGCCATCCATCACAGATTGCTCGGGACCAAATCTACCCCCAAATCTTCACCATCAGCATACATTCCAGGGCCCACTTGCACAAAGCGATCTTAGCGCTACAACTATTGTAAGCCTATGTTAAAGAATGGGAGTTACGATCATCTTAGCGCTAAGATCAAATTCAAATTCAGCAAACTTTGAGTGTCTTCAATATATTACACTGTGTTTGTGCAAAACTGTAGTGCAGGCTGAATAAATCCCCCATTATGACTTGAACCAAATTTGCCATGAATGCCAATTTATCCGAGCCTGGACCCCTTCAAAGGACAAATTACCATAAAACTGGAACATTTTCTCAAAGTAAACAAACATTATAATGATTTGAATATTTGAAATCTTTCATTTCCGATATTCATATAAATGAGCTTCATTGGTTATTCCACTTTAACATTGTGTGCCAAACAGATCATATCTACCCTCCTGAATGTGGCATTATTTTAAGAATATTTTAGTCTTAGACTGTGATTACTTGACAAAATGGTACTAGACTTGAGATGCAGACTAGTGGCTTTGTGGCTATTTTAATACAGAAAAGTTCATGGATCTAATTTTTTATATGACGTTGATTAGATGTGTCCGCTGGAACATTTAACAACGTTCTGAGCTCACTCTGGTGGGACTGCTTGTCGGCCGGCTGCTGGCTTGTGGAGCGCTTCAGGCCTGCTTCCCCACTGGACGAGACATGGGACACGTTCACCATACTACTGGATGCTGATTGGCTGGACAGCGTTGATGTGGACCGCTTGTCAAAGTCGTATTTGTCCCCTCCATATTTGGCCTTTGGGGACGAGGAGAGAGATTTGTCTGATTCCGAGGAGCCAAACATCTTCTTCCACTCAGCATTCTGAAAAAATAAATATTGTTAGTGTCTGACCTAAGATGGTGTTCTGATTGTGAATGAATGGTTCTGGTTTTACTTGCTTAAATTCTCTCCAACCAACCCAGACAGTGCAGGGTAACAACAATTATAGCTAAAATGGATAGAATTATCATTAAACCGCCCGCAAGTTATCAGAAACCTGACAATGCCTTCATATTGCTTGATGACGGGCCACTATCACGCCTGTTGTTAGGTGACGTCATAGGATAGGATAGGTGACGTCACGTTCAATAGTGACGTCATCTGGTTTGTTCTATGACGTTTCCGTATTTGTAAAAGTGGGTCAGTGACATTCGTGTTGATTGCAGTAGATATTTTGTTTCTTTTTATTTGATAAAAAATTCCATCCATTTTAGCTATAATTACGGTAACACTGTTTTTCATGGCATTATCATTTGCAGAAGCCCTCGGTCTTTTCAACTGCACTCCTTCGTCGGGCAGTTAATGGAAGACCTCGGGCTTCTGCAAATGATAATGCCCTGAAAAATAGTGTTACAGTATATGGGGCCAGGGGATCTAACCACCGACCTTCCATTCTCCGGGTAGATGCTATCTATCCACTACACCACAGAGTCGGTCCAGACAGACTAAGGGTGATAATCAGGGTAAATCTAGGATTTAAACCCATGACTGGCAGAGTACCCATATGGGCCTTTGGCATGATGAGCGAACGCTTTAACCACGAGGCTACTCCGACACCCATAAGGATTCTGACAGGACATAACATGACATCATCTTAACTGATAAATCATGTTGAAGGAATTACCATGGCAGCTGAAGAATCCTGATGTGCAACTTTCTTTTTTCTCCGCCTGTAATGAAAAATAATGAACATTGGTCATATGCAACAATCTATTTTCACCATTTGTAATAGACAAATGAACATCTGCCATGTGCAACCTTCTATTTTCACCATTTGTAATAGACAAATGAACATCTGCCATGTGCAACCTTCTATTTTCACCATTTGTAATAGATAAATGAACATCTGCCATGTGCAACCTTCTATTTTCACCATTTGTAATAGATAAATGAACATCTGCCATGTGCAACCTTCTATTTTCACCATTTGTAATAGATAAATGAACATGTGCCATGTGCAACCTTCTATTTTCACCATTTGTAACAGACAAATGAAAATCTGCCATGTGCAACCTCCTCTTTTCACCATTTGTAATAGACAAATGAACATTAGCCATGTGCAACCTTCTATTTTCACCATTTGTAACAGACAAATGAAAATCTGCCATGTGCAACCTCCTCTTTTCACCATTTGCAATAGACAAATGAACATGTGCCATGTGCAACCTTCTATTTTCACCATTTGTAACAGACAAATGAAAATCTGCCATGTGCAACCTCCTCTTTTCACCATTTGCAATAGACAAATGAACATTGGTCATGTGCAACTTTCTACTTTTGTTGCCTGTAATGGATAAATGAATATTGTTCAATACACACTGATCATGATTCGCCAACACTCTCATTTCCTCAAAGTTTCATCTTGTAAGTGTTCCAGTTCTGACAATTTTGTTTTGGTATTTTCTTCAACAGTTGAAACTATCTCTACAACCAAAACTCATGTGAGTGAGTTGGGTTTAACGCCGCTTTAAATAGTATTCCAGTCATATCGCGGCGTCAAAAATCATGTGAAGGACAAGGTAAAATATGTCTGTCTACTTACGTTCCTGGTGAAGTCTGTCCATCTGTGGTTTGATCCTTGGGCTTGTGTAGGTCCGCATGTCTGCGAGTGAGGAAGCGACCCGTGTAGGGGACGTGCTGTAAGGCCAGCACCCCTGCCCGCTGGCCCTCCTCGCTGCTGGAGGAGGCTGAGTTCTCTATGGACCTGCAACAGATGGGTAGGAGTGAGTGAGTTGGGTTTAACGCCGCTTTTAACACTATTCCAGTTATATCACGGCGTGTCAGCTTAGTGTGGGAGGTAAGCCCGAAGTGATGCAGGGCTCAGACGTTTACCACTTCGGTGAAACCCACGAGCATGGGTATGGTGCCGACAAACCTAGAAACATAATCGGGGCGAACCGGGATTCAAACCCACAATCATAGGTTTCTGGCATGCCCAAGGGACGCAACTCTGCACAGCGAAGTGCGGCGCCTTAGACGACTGGGCCACCCCTGCCCCCTAGATGAGTAGGAGCAGACATCTGTCAGTGTGTGTGTACTCTGATTGGCTTAATATGTATTTAGGCCATTTTTTATAATTTATTTTTGTTTACAGATTTTCAAAGAAAAGTTCTGTTGTTAGTTTGATTATTGTTTAACGATGTGCTCATACTTTTTCAGCTATATGACGGTGGTCTGTAAATAATTAAGTCTGGGCCAGACAATCCAGTGATTGACATCATGAGCATCTATTCACGCAATTTAGATAGATAGCATGCAATCAACCAAGTCACAAAGCCAGACTACCTGATAGTAGAAGACAAGATCTCTCTTGTTTATACAGTATTAGCGTTTGATTCAACAGATGTGGTCTTTTTCGTGTTCATTCTATATTCCTGTGATAATTGATAAAAGTCCAGTAATTGGTAGTCAATGTTTCGTAGTATATAGAGAGGGAAATTATGGCAAATACTCACCCAGCTCTTGATCGATGAAGCTTGGTTACAAAATCTTTCATTGCCTGAAAATAGAACAATTCATTGAGTGAGTGAGTGAGTGAGTGAGTGAGTGAGTATGGTTTTACGCCGCTTTTAGCAATATTCCAGCAATATCACGGCGGGGGACACCAGAAATGGGCTTCACACATTGTACCCATGTCGGGAATCGAACCCGGGTTTTCGGCGTGATGAGCGAACGCTTTAACCACTAGGCTACCCGACCGCCCCCAATTCATTGAGTGTATAGCTTAGGGTAATCTGGTATATCATTGATTCCATTCATGCAGCAGGGTTTGGTATCCTTGTAATATTTTATTCTCTTGTAATAAACGAGTGAATGTTGTTTTACGCTGCAGTCACCAATATTTATGCCTATAAATGATAAAAAGTATTGCCGTGGGAAACTTGTGGTTTGAGCAACAATACATCCCATACAAGTACAATGACACACAATAAGACAAGTCAAACACTGCAAACTCCAATAATATTGTCTGGCTGTTACGACAAGCACAGAGTACTGGGACAAAATCTGTCCTGACTGCTCTCATAATAAAGGCAAAAGGGAGACTCAGGGTGCCGTTGCCAGTCTAGGTCTCAACCATTCAAGGGCGGTCGGGTAGCCTAGTGGTTAAAGTGTTCGCTCGTCACGCCGAAGACCCGGGTTCGATTCCCAACAAGGGTACAATGTGTGAAGCCCATTTCTGGTGTCCCCCGTTGTGGTATTGCTGGAATATTGCTAAAAGCGGCGTAAAACCACTCACTCACTCACTCACTCAACCATTCAATTAGAGTCCTGTGTGAAATTCACACATCGTCTCTGTGTAAGGCAAATACACATAATACAATTTGAGGCAGAAGACCAAGAAAATGATGAATCAAACTTGCTGGGACTGCCACTTGGCCAGGGTCAAGTACCCCTTTAATCCCTAAACATTACCAACTCCGAAAGTCGTGAATCACGCCATGATCAACTTGACGCATGATGCTCACTCACCAGCAGTTTTGTCTCATGAGTCTCAGTCATGCCCAGTGATGTCAGTTTGCGGAAAACCTACAAGATACACAAATTGAAGTACATCTTAATAACTGTAAGAACTGGCCTCCTAACCTCTTTCATTCACCATATACCATGGCAAAGGCATCAAAGACAAATATAGTGGGTAAGTATTAGGACAAACAAGAAAATATAGAGAGAAATTTGGAGATTAATACCAGTTGAAACTAACATGAAAACTGTAATAGGTGTACCCTATTTGACGTAATAAGCGCCCAGGGCGCTCTCAAAATTAGAAATAGGGGCTCTTATTGGAATATTATTTGGTGGAAAAAACAGAGTTGAAAGATATATTTTGTGGTTAATGCTGACAGACTGAAATGTTTATACACGACATATATTTTTCCAGAATTTAATTGCCCATAATTAAGGGTGCATATAACACATGAGTGCGTATTATACGCAAATAAATAAGTCTTGTGTACATTGATCAATCGGAAGGGGTGCTAGTTGGGATTGTTCACCAGCCAATATATTAGCAAATATTGCCATGGGCATTTATTAAGAGTGGGGCGCTTATTACGTCGGATATGGTATTAATTCTAGAGCTAGAATTTCCTCAGTACATGTCTCTTAACCTAACTCAACCACACAGTCCAGAAACAAAAGAAATAACATAAAAACAAAGGGAGTATGGGTAAATTCAGTATTTTGTGCACAAAATGTAGCAACATTTAGGAAATACAATGATTCTGGGATGCTAAAATTTTGTAGAATTTTCCTATTCGGAATATTCTATAAGTAATACGTTACCACTGTTATACCGAGGCTGTTGTCTCCCACAACTGCTGCTATAGCGAAATCTACCACATCTCAATTACCTCATGCAGCACGTGCGTAGCCACCTAGCTGCCATGTGACACCCTTCACTCTTGTCTCCTGCGAGAGCAAGTACTCGGGGGACGGACGGGCGGGCAGCAGCCCAGTGGTAACGTATTACTTATAGAATATTCCGAATAGGAAAATTCTACAAATTACATTAAGTAATACGTTACCACTGTTATACCGAGGCTGACTACCACAGTAGGCGGTGGGGAGCACCTACAACCCGAATCCTGACTGCTAGCGTTCCTTCCGACCAGCGGAAGTAAACACCAAGGCGGAAGCACTCGATGCGCATGCACCTAGCTAGGCGTTACCCTATAGGAATACCAAAGCACTGTCAAGCGCATACCGTAAGGCTCAATCGTCAATGCCAAAACGATTGGTGACTCCAAACGGCCCCACTGGATAGGTATTTCATCGCCGCAGCGGATGAGAACACTGTATCCGCGTGAGCTAAATCTTAGATCAGGTTAAACAGTCGAAAAGAGGGAAATTAATTTCCTTCAGACCGTATATCCCAGAGCAAGCCTACTTAAAGTATACATTAGGCGCGTGACCTAATTCCAGTATTCGTAAGCATGTAACGCAAGGTTGGAATACACGACAGACAATTAAATGCATAATTGTCAAAATACAAATAAGTACAAAACACACAAAAAGCCGCCTCACCTGTGGTGTGAGTGCGCTGGTTTGCAGGACCCCCACTCCTGTACCCACGGCGTGGGAACATTGGAGACGACCCAGATTGACCACCGTGCAAGGACTGACGACTGCGGAGTTTGGAATTGCGCTGGACACACCCCCTAGATGACCGCTTGTGCCGCGATCAGCGGCCCAAGACGGTGCACCCCCTCCACGTCTTCATCAGAAACCTTTCTGAGGTAATGATTGGCAAAAACCGAGTCAGAACGCCAGTAACAACCTCGTAATATTCTGTGAACAGAGATATTCGAGTGTAGGGCAAATGTTGCCGCTAGCGCCCTGATCTCGTGCGGGTTTGACCCCGCTTCCGGTAACCCCCGAGACCGGTACGCCAGATTGATGACAGAACGAAGCCACAACGCAATCGAGTTGCGAGTTATGTCAACCGTGCGATTAGGGTTACACGATATGAACAGACGGTCACGCCCTTGTCTACGTTCATTCGAAGCCTTAAGATAATACTTAAGGGCCCTAACCGGACACAGCGCTCTGTCCTCAGTATCAGCAGGATGTAAGATTTCTTTGAGGGATCTTACAGTGAATTCTCTCTCCGTTTGCCCGACTCTCTGATTCTTGGCGACGAAGCCCATGAGCAGGCCCAGGCGGACCGCTCCTTCGTCACCCCTATCGAATCGTACCTTGGCGACATCGAGTGCATGAATTTCGGATACACGTGCCGCCGTGGCAAAGGAGAGGAGAAATGCTGTTTTCCAAGTCACATGCCGGAACGAAGCACTATGCAAGGGTTCATACGGAGCTTCCGTGAGTGATTGCAACACTAGGGAAAGATCCCAGGCCGGTGCCCGAAGGCGGCCCTTCTTAAGATCGTGCTGTTTGAAACCCTTGATAATACCCCGTATCACCGGCTCTTTGGAGAGACTGGTACCCATAGCAACGTCCCGTACCGTAGCAACGGACGAGACATAGTTGGCAATGGAACCCCCGGAGAGTTTCCGGGTCTCTCGCAAGTGAGACATGAAACGAGCAATATCCTGCACAGATACCTTATCTGGCGAATGAATGTGATGTTTACAACACCACTTCGTGAAAATAACCCAACGTGCATTATACACCTTCTGGGTAGAATCACGATGCATACTAACGTATGCCCGAGACGCCCGGCGAGAAAAACCTTTACTCCTCAGACGCTCGGTGACAACATCCACGCGTGCAGATTGAACTGCCCTGCGTTTGGATGAAGCTGACGGGTGTGAGGGTGGATCAAGAGATCCGGTCTCACAGGCAGTGGGAGTGGCGACTGCGTGACCTGGGTCAGCAAGTCGGGGTACCACGATCTGTTCGGCCACATGGGCGCGATCAGTAACATTCGACAGCGAACTCCTCGAAGCCGGCTTAGAATGTGTGGTATCAACGCTGTCGGCGGGTAAGCATAAGCGTCCAAGCCCGTCCAGTCTAACGCAAGAGCATCGTGATCGATGGCCCTCGGGTCCGGGACTGGTGATACAAACAACGGGAGTTGATTGTTGAACCGTGTTGCGAACAGGTCGACCATCGGACGACCCAAACGTTCGCACAGCCACTGAAACACCACTGGGTTCAGCATCCACTCTGTGGGGCTCGGATCCTGAGGCCTCGATAGAGCATCGGCCAGTACGTTCCGCACACCTGGGATGTGACGGGCGCGTATCTGGCACGGGACACTGTCCACCAGAGCGTAAAACTCGAACGTGAGATCGAGTAGCGAGTGACTGTGGGTTCCCCCCAGTTTGTTCACATAGGACACTACCGTCGTGTTGTCGGTCGCCAGCATGAGCCGGGCGTCGACGAGACGATGCTTCCAGTGATTGACTGCGTTGATCACTGCCTTGAACTCGAGACAATTGATGTGAAGACCTAGTTCGTCTACGCACCACAGCCCCGAGCTCACCTCCCCCTCTAGATGGGCGCCCCAGCCCACTAGAGAGGCGTCTGTATACAGGTTCAACGTGGCCCGGTAGGGCCGCATAGAGACTCCTGATAAGACATTGTAAGGGAGCGTCCACCACTCCAGATGCGGTCGGCGCCGATCCGGGAGGGCGACGGTCGCACTGTTCACCTCCGTTGCTAACAACTGGATTAAAAACTGTTGCAGCGGGCGGAGTTGGAGACGACCCCGTTCGATGCAGTCCTGGGCTGATACAAGTAGCCCTAACAGCTGTTCCCAAAAGTGAACAGTCTGTTGCACCGCTAAGACTTTGGCAATCATCGCCTGAATTTTGTGCCACCGGTCTGGGGGGACAAATAGGCGATGGGACACCGTGTTGAACCGACCTCCGATGAACTGCAAGTTCTGAGAAGGGGTTAACTCGCTCTTGGGGAGATTGACAATCCACCCCAATTGCTCCAAGAGCCGACGTGCGAAAACGAGATGGCGTGACAGGGTGTCCGACATTCGATTTGCTACTAGCGAGTCGTCCAGGTACGCGAAGTACCGGACACCCCTCCGGTGGAGGAACCCCACTATGGGGGTGGTTAACCGGGTGAACAGCCAGGGAGCGGATGAAAGACCGAATGGGAGTACAACCCACTCGTAGTGCCTGCCTTGAAAGACAAACCTGAGATACTTCTGATGATCCGAGTGAATCGGAACATGCAGATAAGCATCCTTCAGGTCGATCGAAGCTAGCCAGTCGGCCGGCATGATCAGTGCTTTCAGGTCCGTCAAGCTCAACATTCTGAACTTGGGCGGTTTGCGCAGGTAGAACTCGTTGAACGATTTCAAGTTGTGAATCATTCTGAGTTCGGCACTGTCCTTCTTGGGAACGAGAAATATCCTGGAGTAAAACCCCGGTGTTATTTCTGGTAGAGCTAACTCCCGAACTGCCCTCTTCTCCACCAACCTGCCGATGGCATCGGCGAGGAAGGGAAGATCGGTTTCCGAATAGAAACCTGCCGACGGGGCAACGGTGAGCGGCGGATTCGCTATGAGATCGAGCCGATAGCCGTACAGAATCGTGTTGACCACCCACGGGTCGTCGAACACTTGTTCCCAATTCTCCCAGTAAGTCTGGAGTCTGGCTCCCACTGGGGAAAGAGAGGGGGGCTGGACGGGCTGCGGCAGGCGCAACTGTCCAGGGCCAAGTGACTCGGGTTCGCCTACGGGCCAACCGAAGTTGGCGCTGTCGGCATACGAACCCCTCCAATGAGAGTCACCTGGAGGGGCCCTTGCCGTCCTTAGACGACTTGGGCTTCCCCCAGTTCCCCTTCTTCCCGCGAAAGGGCTGCTGAGAACCCTTACCGGAGCCCTCAGAGCGGGGCTTCTTCCCGGAGGAAGAAGGACCCGACCCCTTAGGCCTGCCGGACGCAGCATCCTGGGGCGCGCTCCGCTTCGGAGCGGCACCCAGGCGCCTATGCAAGGACCCCACAAGATCCAGTGTGTGCCGAGAGGCCTCGGCAGACACAGCGGCCTGTTGTTCCTTCAGAACCCCAGGGATCTTGTTATTAAACAGGGTCCGAGCAGACCAAGGCTGCGAAAGGAGCACCTCCTGATTAGCAGCGTCCAACCCTGAAGCAACCAGATATGACTGGCGCCGAAGAAAATGGCACGTGCCGGAAACAAAGGCCGAAGCCCCGGCAACGTACTCCAGGGAAGCATTCAAACCGAGCAAGCAGTTGTAAATGCGCTGGTCTCGGTCCGTGGGAGAACCTTCAACCAGACTGGCCGCTGCAGCCAGGTAAGTGTCTCCGTGAGACATTGCCAGCATGGAGTGTCGAGCGAGGGTGTCCAGCTGTTGCAAGGTACCTTGTGGTACCGTGGCAACCGGTGGGGCACGGACCCCCAAACGCTCCACATGGGCTTCCGCAGAAGGACCAGCCTCGGGAAAGGCAAGGTCATGTACTGGGAAAGACCCTTTTCTCCACGACGGGGGAGGTAACGGGAGACCCCGACCGGAGGCAGCCGTGAAGGCCTTCTCCAAAGAAGGCTTAATCCCGCGCAGCAAGGTTGATGCCGGGAAAGCCTTGTCGGACGTCTCGTCGTATACCTCGGAGGAACCCACGGAACCGTGGATTCCCCGCGGTATCGGCAGGGGCTTTGGCATGTCCTCGAAGAGGTCATACACCATGGCAACGCGGTCCTTAACCGATAGCGGAAGCAACGGTTCGGGGGAAGGACCGGTAACCACGGCAGCCGCCGCCGTACCGGTGGACCCCGCGTCCGAACCCGCGGCCACCGAAGAGGCCGGGGACGGAACAGCCAGCGGCCTATCTTGCGATAAGGCCGCCAGCTTGGAGTCCACAAGTTTCGACAATAATGCGGCGACGGAAGCCCCAGACAGCCCGAGGGCCGCAAGGGGATCCGCCGCAGCCGAGGAGGTGGTACCCGCACGGGGACCCCGGCCGGACGAACCGGCCACCACAGGGGTGGAGACGGACTGTACGTACAGCCGGTACCGCTCAAACTCCGCAGGCCCCAGACCTTCGCACAGGGTACACCGGGTGTCCCCGCAAGGAACCCTGCACCGCGGGCAACGATCGTGGGGATCCCGGGATGACAAAAACTTTCTGCACACCCCACAACTCCGAGGAGCAGGGGTAGAGGGGGTGGATACTGGGGACATATCCATGTCAGACATTGTTTGCTATAAACAAAGAACAAAACATGGTTACAACGCACGCACCACAACGATTCACAAACGAGCATTTTCACAAGAAAATAAACGAGCAATGTGAACATATAACATACACATATAACTTTTATTAAAGAAATAAGTTATGTTAACCCCCAAAACATACAAGAACAGGGGAAACGTAAAACACAACGTGCATACGCGAACCCCGCAAGTATAGAGAAAAAAGGGCGGGAAAAATTTTCCGTTTGGCGGGAAAATTATAACCAAGCGTAGCTACCGCAACGCCCCATAAAAGCACAGTTTATTAGAGAATAAACTATAATAAATATCACCAAATCTTCCAGGAACGCTTCAGCAGGAGAAAACACGTCTTGCTAAGCAGACGAAGGAGACAAGAGTGAAGGGTGTCACATGGCAGCTAGGTGGCTACGCACTGCTGCATGAGGTAATTGAGATCTCTGTGGTAGATTTCGCTATAGCAGCAGTTGTGGGAGACAACAGCCTCGGTATAACAGTGGTAACGTATTACTTAATGTAATGTTCTATATGTTTCAATAATTCCTGTTTACTTGTTTTGCCTGTTTGTCATGCTTATGAAGATAGTAGCGAGAATGGGAGCAGCTATGTTCTGTACCTGAGCCAAGTTTTCCTCCAGTTCGGGGTAGCCTGGTCTGTGCCCAGACCTGCTGATGCTCCGGATGTACTTCCTGTTGTTGAGGGTTTCAAACATAGCATCGATGGATGTCGATCTCAACACGTAGTCGAACACTGTCCGTGGGATGGGTTCATCTAGTGCATTCAGCACTATAGGCTAAAAAGGAAATTGTAATTATCAAACAGTTGTTTTGTTCAAAAACAGACTGGCAAAAAAGTAGTTCTATTGTAATTTTCTATTTATACAAACAGTGGTATCAGGCTATCAGTAATTTTTATGTTTGGGAGAGGTAATAATATAATCAAGGATGAGATTAACACTTTTCATGAATAAATCATTAAAATACTGCTCTGGCTACCAGCAACAAATCATTTGAGGTGGTGAGGTGAGGTGAAATGGGGTTTAACGTCGCGTCCAAGATTATTGCACTTATATAGTGACGTGCATGCACGTGTATGTGTGTTAGGCTGCTTGTACTAGTCCGGACTGATGCCGATTTATAGTGCTAGCACACTGAGATACCATGCCGCAGTTTAACATGAATACCCCACTCAGACACAGTATACTGACTCCGAGCCGACCATTCCTTGTTTCAGCCCCTTAATGCCGGGCGCCAGACAGGGTAACAACAAGTACCATCTTTTAACATCTTTTGGTATGACGCGGCTGGGGATCGAACCCCGGACCTTCCGCTCTCCGGGCGGACGCTCTACCATTAGACCATGGAGGCGGTACAAAACATTTGAAGCTGGATGAGACACAGATGATGCAGGTTGTGATGAAGTCAGTGTTACCTCCTTATCCAGCTGGAGCACCTGTTGTTTAAGGAAGGGCACCACCTGCGGGAGGAGGTTACAGTGGAGGTCCGCAATGTTCATGATCCGAGCCACCGCCGCAACAAATCCGACTGCACCCTGCCGGATCCAGATGCCCTGACGAAAAGTATTGACATGTATTGCTTTTTGTTTACACAATATCCAAGCTCTATCTCATGGCCTGTAAACAACTAAGTCTGGGAAAGTGAGTGAGTTGTGTTTAACGCCGCTTTTAACAGTATTCCAGTCATATCACGGCGTGTCAGCTGAATGTGGGAGGAAAGCCAGGTCTTAGATGTTAACCACTTCGGTGAAACCCACGAGCACGGGTATGGTGCTGACAAACCCAGAAACATAATCTGGGCGAACCGGGATTCAAACCCACAATCATAGGTTTCTGGCGTGCCCAAGGGATGCAACTCTGCACAGCGAATTGCGGCGCCTTAGAAGACTGGGCCACCCGTGCCCCCATGTCTGGGAAAGACAATCCAGTAAATGACATTAGGAGCAACTTCAACATCGTCTTTGAAACATTGTACATGCAATTGACCAAGTCACCAATTCTGGCAACCTGATGGAATTTTTTTCAAAAATAGATTTTTAATCACCGCTTACAACAAGCAAGGGAGTGCTAGGACTATTCTTATAAGGTCCCATATGATGACATTACAGGACAAAATTCTAGAAACTGCGGATATCAGTCACACCTATCACTCGAGACACTTGAATCTGGTGAGACATTACTGTGTTATGTGATAGGGTAACTGAAATCCTCTTACCGGGTGAGCAAGGAAGGGGACTATCTCCTGAACAAACTCCTGCAGCATGGGCTTCTGTAGCAGACCGAGCTCTGACAGAGACTTGATGGCCCCAAGGGTCTTGTGCACAACATACTCCTCTGGGTCACTCAGGCCCTGTGGGCAAAATCATCAGCAAGGTGGGGAATATCATTAGATATTTATATAGCTAAAATGGATAAAATTATCATTAAACTACCCGCATGTTATCAGAAATGAGTGGGCCACTGTAACTTGATAATGCCCTCATATTGCTTGACAACGGGCCAGTATCACACCCCTTGTGAGGGGATAGGGAAAGGTGACGTCACGTTCAATAGTGACGTCATCTGCTTTGTTCCATGACATTTCCATATTCGTAAAAGGGGTTCAGTGAAATCAGTGTTTATAGCAGTAAATGTTTCAAAACCTATATTGTTGTATATTTTTATTTGATAACAAATTCTGTCCATTTTAGCTATAATAATGGTAACGCTATTTTTCAGGGCATTATCATTTGCAGAAGCCCTCGATCTTTTCAACTGCGCTCCTTCGACGGCCAGTTAATGGAAGACCTCGGGCTTCTGCTAATGATAATGCCCTGAAAAATAGCGTTACCCTTATAATAGTCATATAACAGGGTGAGGAGTCTGGCTTCACATTGCCTTGAACAGTATTTCAGTTATATCATGGTGCATCACGTTGATGTGGGGATGCAAGTCTTAGATGTTTACCACTTTAGTGAAACCCACAAGCAACACAACTCTGCAGAACGAAATGCAGCATCAATATCATCAGATAGCCATATAGCAAGGTGGAATATCTCATCAAATTAACAGAGCTAGAGTGTAGATATGCAAAGCAATCAGGCTTGCCAGTGTACTGACCACTAGACACCATCACTGTCCAAGGCCTACCTGTTCTAACAGAGGTTTCAGGATGGACGAACTCTGCCAGCCTACGTACGCTGCCACGCCCACAATATTTTCAAAGAATGACCCTCGTAGCTTCCAGTCATACTGAAAAAAATATCATGACCACAAAATATAGCAAACTGTTACAATATTTAAAAGTCATGTTTCTATAATATATATCTGAGTCTCTTTGTACATAACTCATGCGCATATGCTTCTCAATCTCTTCAACACTGTCTAGTCTTGCTGTTGTACTGGTTGTTGGTTTAATATACTACTCAAAAGAAGTTAAAGAACACCTGATTCTTTCATTTTACCACAGTTAATCTGTCATGGCATATGAAAACATTGTGTGTTCTTTCACTTCTTAGTAGTACATATACTGATGGAAAGAAAAGAGAACAGATAGGATTGTATGATATTGTTGACATGAGTGAATGTGAGTGAATGAATAAGGAGATAAACATACTGTGTTTTCAATGTAGAGCTAGGTTACCTGGAGATTTAACCGCGCTAAGGCATGTGACAGGCATTTAAAGCATATAAGCACGGCAACTTGGTAAGCAAACATGAGGTGGAAATCCCTAAAGAAAACAAAGCAAGCTTTGCAAGGCTTTCGCTCTACATCACACGTCACCATTATGACGACATTCCGCTCATTGTGACGCAAAATATATGACGTCACAATCGTACATAGAAAAGCGCCAAAATTCCAAGCTCTCTGTTGTCTCCAAAACGTAAATACATTCCCTTTGTAGATTGCTATCATGTTTTTTGCACGAAATGTATTGCCACACATCCTTTGAATATTGTAGTAACCGAATCTGTGCATTTTGTAACCTGTAATTGTAGATATAACTATTTAAATATGCCTATCTACAATGACTGAAAATAGTACTATTCTATGAGTATTAGCTTCCGCAGTGAAGCGGCCATCAAACCTGCTGTTTCAATCAGAGGGGGTTTATTGTGATTTAATAGCCTCTGATTGACCAATCAGAATCGAGTAAATTCCAAATTCATGGTAGAATGTTGTTTAGTGCCACAGTAATCATTATCCCGGCTAAATTATTTCGACAAGTGATGTAACAGGTTGGACATTGTAGCCACTTGATAAACATTTTAGTTAACATCCATTAGTGAGGAGGGATTCGGACCTAGATTCCTCACAAGGTCTTTGGAGATGTAGCGCAAGGACTCCTACACTTTAATGTAAGCTTTTGATAGTCATAGACCACTTTGTGGAATGGAACCCTGGAGGTTTTTGAATGAGTGAGTCAGTAAGTATGGTTTTATGCTGCTTTCAGCAATATTCCAACAATATCACAGAGGGAAACACCAGAAATGGGCTTCAAACATTGTGTCAATGTTGGAAATCGAACCCGGTTCTTCGGCATGATGAGCTAAATGCCTTTCTCACGAGGCTTTCCTATCGCCCTTGGATCCCTTTGACAATACAGTTACATCCTAACAGTTCACTGCATGTCTCAATTTGTTGGTGACGCGTCTGTTATTGAAAGCAGTGGTCAAATATCACTGTTTGCTTATTGTCCACCAGCTTCAATATCTGTTGTACATGAAATACTCACTTTGTCATTCAGAAATGTGATCATGTGAGAAAGCAGGACATCATTTGCTGAAAACAATCAAACGCAATTAATTTATTATCTATCCAATTGATTGAAAATCGTTTTTATCTCCATATTTTATGAGACAAAACTAAGCATGGTATTACCGTGTTAACATAAATTCTCCCTGGGGTTTTGTCTCACGCTGTGGTCAGTAATATTCTACCTGTATCATAACACCTTTTATCACCCACAGGGTTAGAAATAACCGAGTTAATAAAAATTGTATGTGAACCAGTGCAGATATCCCTTCTCCCACACTAGGGCATTGTTTTTGTCATCCAGATGGCATTGTTGTCGTGATTTGAATCTCAATGTGACGGAATTACATCACACAAGATATGACGTCACAGCTGAAGATTGTTGACGTCACCGAAAATACACGACCCGTGAAGATTCCGGGGTAGAATAGGTCTTCAGCAACCCATGCTTGCCGTAAAAGGCGACTATGCTTGTCGTAAAAGGCGACTAACGGGATCAGGTGGTCAGGCTCGCTGACTTGGTTGATGCATGTCATTGGTCCCAATTGCGTGGATTGATGCGCATGATGTCAATCACTGGATTGTCTGGTCCAGACTCGATTATTTACATACCACTGTCATATAGCTGGAATATTACTGAGTGCGGCGTAAAACAACAAACCAACCAACCAACCGAAAATACACAAATATTCCCCAATGCCACAGATATGACTGCAATATCCACAGTTCTATAGCAAAGAGTCATGGCATGCTCGAGCTAGACAATGGGAAGGGCCATGGCAGGTGCCCTACCTTTCTGTCGGCCAAAGAAGACACAAAGTCGAGTGATGCCTGACTGCAGTAGTGTCTGCTTGACCAAGTTGTCTGGGTCACTCAGCAGAGTGACCACCTTCTGTTGTATCATCTCCTGCAGCGTCTGAAGCTCCACGTCATAGCTTGACTCCAGCTGAAAGGGAAAGTGTCCCATCCTGGTGTTATTAATTACCTTATTTGACTTTGGACAGAAATGAAGAGTTTTATGTCTGCTCGTATGGTTTTGTGTTCACTGCACAACTCTACCCGTCTACCTTCATGGTGCAGACAAACCACAACCCCTATATTTTTATTTTTTTCATATTATTATTATTATTATTATTTACAGTGAAGCAATGATTACATGCATCTCTGGAGTATAACACATCATTATTGCATCAAATCAAATCATTCATTTAAAAAGAACTAAACTTGAAAATTTAATTTTTAGTTAGTTTGAATATTGAGATGGTCCCTCACCATATACTGTGAGTCTTCAGAGTCCTCCTGTATGTCGATCTCAGACAGCTCCTGCAGTTGGGTCATCTCCAAAACTCTGCAGACAATTAATGAAATGAGTGAGTGAGTGAGTTAGGTTTTACGCCGCTTTTAGCAATATTCCAGCAATATCACGGCGGGGGATCCCAGAAATGGGCTTCACACATTGTACTCATGTCGGGAATCGAACCCGGGTCTTCAGCGTGACGAGCCAAATTAATGAAATGACATGTTATATGCAGTGCTGTGGCATTATGATATATTTATTAATTTTGTGTTCGAGTACAGTAACTTGATTCAGTTGGGCCATCAGCTATGTAAATGTAAGAAGCATGTTCAAGATTTTGTCATGCAATGTCCCTAGCATTTTTTTGCTTGTCATGAGAGGCAACACATTTGGACCAAGTGGCCAGGCTCTTTGAAATGTCTGATAGTGTGTCACCAGTGGCTATCGTTTTCTGGTTTGCCAATCCATGCTCGATTATTTACAAGCTACTGTGAAATAGATGGAAAACTGCCGACTGCGTTAAACAACAAGAACTTGACCAAGAACTTGTAGTATTGTTATAAGTGCCCTACTTCATCATTACAATATACTGGGGTGAGGGTGAGGTGAAATGCACTGCACTTATGTAGCTATGCACATGCACATGTCCTTGATTAAGCCTGTTAATGCCGAGCGACAAGCAGGGTCACAACATGTACCATCTTTGAGCATCTTTTGGTATGAAGCAGCTGAGGATTGAACCCCCAACCTTCTGCTCTCCGGGTGAACGCCCAATCATTAGGCCACGGGGGCATTCTACTATACTGGGACATATCCTTGTTTATAGATATTAACTCTGCACTTACCTGAGAGCTGTTTCTGCCAGGTGAGCTATGTTTTCAGCATACGCTGCTCTGACCAGGGCAACTTCATCATGAACGAGATGGGTCTGTCAACACACAATGAGTAATGTAGACTGAACAATTTTCTTTTCTTTCCATTTAAATGGCAAGTTATTGGGGATGATAATGACTCAGTTAACATAAAACAAAACCAATCTTATTTCCTCGATAATTAAAAGTCATAGTTTTGCAAGATTCATAACCAATACACTAATTACATACAAGAAAAAACAAAAACAAGTAAGGGTAATTTTTCAGATATACCGTTTCAAAAATGGCATTGATTTAATGAAAGTAAAACTCCATATTACACAGATGTAATAGCAAATTCTATATTATCATATGTATCCACATTTCCCTAAAAATCGGTTTAGAAAAGGTCTTCCCCAGGCTACACTCGTAAGATGCGACTAACATGATTGGATGGTCAGGCTCGCTGACTTAGTTGATTCATGTCATCTTATCCCAAATCCGTAGATCGATGCTCATCATGTCAATCACTCAATTGGCACGTCCAGACTTGATTATTTACAGACAGCTGTCTGGAGTATTACGGCATGAAACAACAAACAAAACCTGACCTGAAACCTTTTCGCCTGATATATATATTTATTACTTGCCCGTGAAGAGATCACCCATTTAATAAACATACAGCTGTATTACACATTGTGTAATACCAAAACGTGTGCTTATGTACTCTCGGAACACGTTTTCATGAACAAATATTGAAAGCTCTCAACATCCCTTGGCTTATTCAACGACATTGCGTGTGGAGATGATAGATCACTGAGAGGAGCTTATGCACACTCGATGACCCCAGCAACCTTGTTGCTAGGCTGACGTCACATGGCACTGTTTCGCCGATGGATCTTGCAACAAAATTCCACAAATTACGTCATCGGGTATTGTGACGTTATTGTGAACTTTGAGGCGCAAGGCCCGTTCCACAAAGCGATCGTATTGTAGCGCGAAGACAGTCGTTAGTCTGTTAAAGTATGTGAGTTGCGATAGTCTTAGCCCTACGATAATTTTGTGAATTCTAAAGGTGGACCGTTGTATGGTATTAAATTCATACGTTTCAATTTTTGACGTGTTTGAAGTATTATTCTGTTACACTCAATTGGACTATGCCATGGACCGTGTAGGTGTCAGCCTATTCACACTCAACAGTATAATTCTAAAACCGTTATAAATGGCCAGTGACTGGCTTTCGCTCGTCAGATACCACAACTATTCACTCGTTTCATAAAATTGGTATTACACGGGAGCTCGTTTAGTATTCTATATCTCTTATACACCTCAACATAGTTATGTCATAAGCGTGTACTTACAAGATTAGGGAAAATATACTCTGGAAAGACGTTGGAGTCACTGAAAAAGATTCAAAGTTTGCATTTTCAGTATAACAGTCTGCGACGGTGGCCACTATTCTCAAATAAGATTCTAGTAAAATTTTGTTCAGTCTAGTAAGCTCAGCTAGAAATTGTCTACCAGTAATAATAATATCAGAATCTACAGAAAATGATCTTTATTTTATATATATAGCCAAATTCAGTTTAGTAGACTCAATAGATTTGTTTTCCACAAATTACTTCCTTTCTGAAAATGTACTTGTCTAAGTGGTGTTGTTCCATGTTAATGAACCACCTTGCTACTCAGTCTGAGAGAGTGAGTGAGTGAGTGAGTTGGGTTTAACACCGCATTTAACAGTATTCCAGTAACCAGGATTCGAACCCACAATCATAGGTTTCTGACGTGCCCAAGGGATGCAACTCTGCACAGCGAAATCGCTGCAACTTAGACGACAGGGCCATGCTACTCAGCCTGCAGTGCTATTGTGTGTTATTACTCTGAATTGTATGAACCTAAGTTGCAAATGACAATATCGTAGAAGCATCAAACAAACAGGGCTGAAAGGTTGAGTAATTGTCAGGTGGACCAAGAGTAGACTTTTGAGATCCTTCTGACAACTTTTCCGCACTAGTGTATTCAGACATCCTGAACATATAAGACATTTAGACTACATATCATTCTGAATGAATTGACCAGCGAAGATGGAAAGGTGAGGTGAGGTGAAATTGGGTTTAACGTCGCGTCCAAGATTATTGCACTTATATAGCGACGTGCATGTACGTGTGTGTGTTTGTGTGGCTGCTTGTACTAGTCCGGACTGATGCCAATTTATAGTGCTAGCTCACTGAAATACCATGTGCAGTTTAACATGAATACCCCACTCAGACACAGTATACTGACTCCGAGCCGACCAGTCCTTGTTTTCGCCCCTTAATGCCGAGTGCCAGACAGGGTAACAACAAGTACCATCTTTTAACGTCTTTTGGTATGACGCGGTCGTAGATCGAACCCCGGACCTTCCGCTCTCTGGGCGGACGCTCTACTACTAGACCACGGAGGTGGTCGCGAAGATGGAAAGACCAAATTGTAAGTTATTACCTCCTTGGGACGTTCTTCATATCTGACAGACAGTCTGTGATTGTCTCAATGGTCTTGGCACGAACACGGGGAAACGGGTCATTGGCAAAGTGCAGCTGTAAGAAAAAACATTGTGTAACAGAAACTATTAACATTTGTCACTGAAATAAATCTGTGAAAACTAGCTTCTTGAATTCCAAGATGAATGAATGTATTAAACTACCCACATCCATTTCCACAAACAGTTTTCCAAAAACATGTACCCAGACTTACCATATATGGTATGATCCTGTCCAGGATGATGTCAGCACTGACGTATTTGGACAATTTCAGCAGTAAATCCAGTCCTGTTAACCGTGATTCATAGAACTGAAACAGCCAAATAAAGGTGAGGTGAAATGGGGTTTAAAGTCACAATCAAGGCTGTTTGTTCAGTTTCAAGTTATGCTCTGGAAATGACCCCCACCCTTGAGTCTAAGTCCAAACTGTTTCTATGGACATTGAGAAAAATAATGCCAAAAATCCACAAATAGCAAAAGGAACCACTTCAGGATGTTTGCTATCTGCCAAATTGTGGTGAAAGATATTGAACATTTTTTTAGTTGTGCTCTTAAAATGTAATCCACCCTTTTATGAGACTAAGTAAAAACTAATCAATGGAAATTGAGAAAAGAAATGCCTATTAAAAATCCGCACCACTTCAGGATCTGCAAGAAATATCTCCCAAATATTTGTTGAAAACAGTCGAAAGGTCTGCAAGTTACACTCCGGAAACCAAATGAATATAGATGGACAGCGTCAACAATATTCCCCCACATTATAAAAAGGACACCTGAGACATCTGTTCTTAAAAAATTTGGCTTCTTATGTTATATGTTTCTTAACCTAGATCCTTTTTTCCACCGATTTACTTTTCAAACAAAGGTATTGCCTTATATACATAGACAGTGGGACAGCGGTCCATATTTGAGGGCCTATCTAACCTAGAAACAACCCAGTATGTGACCTTTTGTTGTTAACATACATGAATGTCCCGTGAGCTGGAGCCAACAAGGGAGATAAGCAGGACAAGTGCATTGTTCTTCTCCACGTCCGTCTCGTCTATCTTCAGACTCTTCAGACTCTGCGGCAAGTCACTGCTGATACTGAAACCAATGTATTGAAGCATTGCTGATACTGAAACCAATGTATTGAAGCATTGCTGATACTGAAACCAACGTATTGAAGCATTGCTGATACTGAAACCAATGTATTGAAGCATTGAAACCAACGTATAGAAGCATTGCTGATACTGAAACCAACGTATTGAAGCATTGCTGATACTGAAACCAATGTATTGAAGCATTGAAACCAACGTATAGAAGCATTGCTGATACTGAAACCAACGTATTGAAACCAACGTATAGAAGCATTGCTGATACTGAAACCAACGTACTAGAGCATTGCTGATACTGAAACCAATGTATTGAAGCATTGCTGATACTGAAACCAACGTATTGAAGCATTGCTGATACTGGAACCAATGTATTGAAGCATTGCTGATACTGAAACCAAGATATTGAAGCATTGAAACCAACGTATTGAAGCATTGCTGATACTGAAACCAACGTATTGAAGCATTGAAACCAACGTATAGAAGCATTGCTGATACTGAAACCAACGTATTGAAGCATTGAAACCAACGTATAGAAGCATTGCTGATACTGAAACCAACGTACTAGAGCATTGCTGATACTGAAACCAATGTATTGAAGCATTGCTGATACTGAAACCAACGTATTGAAGCATTGCTGATACTGGAACCAATGTATTGAAGCATTGCTGATACTGAAACCAACATATTGAAGCATTGAAACCAACGTATAGAAGCATTGCTGATACTGAAACCAACGTATTGAAGCATTGAAACCAACATATAGAAGCATTGCTGATACTGAAACCAACTTATTGAAGCATTGCTGATACTGAAACCAACGTACTTGAGCATTGCTGATACAGAAACCAATGTATTGAAGCATTGCTGATACTGAAACCAACATATTGAAGCATTGAAACCAATGTATTGAAGCAATGCTGATACTGAAACCAACATACTGAAGCATTGCTGATACTGAAACCAATGTATTGAAGCATTGCTGATACTGAAACCAACGTATTGAAGCATTGAAACCAACGTATTGAAGCATTGCTGATACTGAAACCAACGTATTGAAGCATTGCTGATACTGAAACCTACATATTGAAGCATTGCTGATACTGAAACCTACATATTGAAGCATTGCTAATACTGAAACCAATTTACTGAAGCACTGCTGATACTGAAACCATATATTGAAGCATTGCGGATACTGAAACAATGTTTTGAAGCATTGCTGATACTGAAACAATGTATTGAAGCATTGCTGATAGTTAAACAATGTATTGAAGCATTGCTGAAAGTGAAAGTATGCAAGCATTGCAAATTTTTAAAGTACTGAGGCATTGCATTTACCTTTGCAAGAAGACTTGCTTATTCAGAAAACAAGGTATAGAGGTATAATTTATATTTTAACTTTGGTCTCAGCGTGTTACCATGGTTATGTTGATGATGGTACATGGCTCCTTCACATGACAAGTGTGAAGTGATTATATATCATGCCTCACCTCCTAAAACTTGACACTATACAAGCAGTGTTATTCTGGCTACAACTACATAGAACCCACCACCGTTGGCCCTCAGCAACCATTGCTGGTCGTAAGAGGGATCAGATGGTCAGACTCAACATCATACCACAACATCGTTGATGGTCCTCATTCTATCAATCACTAGATTGTCTTGTCCAGATATGATTATTTAGAGGCTGCCATCATATTTGGAAAATTGCTGAGTGCGGTGTTAACCAACAAAACAACAAGAACATCGACCCCATTCACTGACTCTGTATAGCAGCTACGTACAAGTGTATCCTGTCATCAGCAGGAATGATGGGAGACACAGCAAACTTCTGCAGGTACAGCTTCAGGTATGTGTAGAAGTACTCGGGGAAGGCCTTGCCGCGCTGCTTGATTAAATACTCCTCCGCCGAGAGGCGGTGGTTTGGATCCTTCTGCATCATGTGACGGACTAGCTCCTGTAAAGGATAAACATCACATTTGACTCCTTTGGTAAAAATAGTAGAATCAAATCCGTTGACAAAGTATCATGAAGCACGGATAGCATAAAATGTATCACAATGCATGAATATATTTAAAACATAGCTCTATTCATAATACAACATCCCTTGTGATAATGCTGCCCTCGGAGTCCATGAAGATCAGGTGAGGTGAGGTGAAATGGGGTTTAATGTCGCGTCCAAGATTATTGCACTTATTTAGCGACGTGCATGTACGTGTGTGTGTGTTTGTGTGGCTGCTTGTACTAGTCCGGACTGTTGCCGATTTATAGTGCTAGCTCACTGAGATACCATGCTGCAGTTTAACATGAATATCCCACTCAGATACAGTATACTGACTCCAAGCCGACCAGTCCTTGTTTTAGCCCCTTAATGCAGAGCGCCAGACAGGGTAACAACAAGTACCATATATAAACGTCTTTTGGTATGACGCGGCTGGGGATCGAACCCCGGACCTTCCGCTCTCCGGGAGGACGCTCTACCACTAGACCACGGAGGCAGTCCATGAAGATCAGTGTTATTCCCAACATGGAATGTAGGTCGGGTGATAGTTCACCAAACAAGGATGTGAAGATCAATCAGGGAACATACTGGAAGACCTTTGCCCATAAATGTGCATGGTATACCTATTGTTGCACAACAAAAACATTTCAACCCATCGTAACAAGAGTATTTCCTCTACCATGATGAGAGTACAGGGAGAAAGTAAGGCAATATGATGGTTAAAGATAGCCTTTGGGCAAGTGGAAATTTCTTATATTTCACATCTGTCTGTATGTAAGTATCATTTGGGCCATGCTGACAAATATGAATCATTATCCTGATAAACTGTGTTTACTCTGATGCTTGGGTCTTCGATCTTCTCCAGGATCTTCCAGGGGCTGTACTCCCCACTCCTGTATGCCAGCAGCTGGGACAGATCGAATGGTGAGGTGCCCTCCGTGAACAGCTCCGTGATGACACAACTGTAACACACAGTAAATACCTCAATATCATCCATTTGGGCTTGTTTATTTCTGCAATTTTAACACTTGGTATGGGGATCTGCTAACTCATATGTTACAATGTGGCACAAAAAGAAATCTTTGAATTCAGTTTCTTTTCTACCCACCAGCAGAGCTAACTTATAGCCAAAACGAAATATTAAAAGTAGGTCAGTATGAAAAGGAAAGTAACAATTCATCTGAAAAAAATCATATTGTTCTTTTTTACTCGTAATGTGTTAGAGAGACGATTTCAGAAAAAAAGGAAGACGATTTTTATTTCAACCACCAACCCAATGTTCTTGGAAAAAAATTGATAAACTGAATATAAACAAAGGCCCCAAAACACTTTCAGTCACTATCTAACATTATTATCATGTGTGTTATTCTTACCCTAGAGAGAATATGTCAATAGCAGGATTAAGATCACCAGTCTTGACCTCACTTGAGGTCAGATCGATGTTCCCTGATTGACCAGCATTGTCAGTGTTCTTCAAACCACTCTCCACAAACCTCTCTGGTGCAATGTAACATGTCCGCCGCCGGGAAGTGTCAAAGAAGTACGAGAAATCTGACGGATTATCCTGAAATAATTCAAAGTCATGTATTGCCATAGTGCAACATTCCGGGCTAAATTTAATTATCAAAAATTTGTTTGCCGACCAATAACTGAAAATTATACAATAAATTGCAGATTTATATCCCTTTATCTCTTATTTGTGTAAGTCAGCAACATAACTAATATCACTGTGGCCTGTAAAACAATCAGGTCTGGCCCGGGGAAAAAAAAAATGGCTGATAAATCCACAGTTATAATATGGTTCACAGGGTAACACTTTGGCATCAATCCTAGATTATAGTCAGTTCCTATTACAAGTAGGAGGCAAGCGGGGCCATTTCTGTCCCAGAATTCCTATGGGAGGCCACCTTGAAATAATAGAATTTCACTTGAGACACATACTCTATTTCTTAATCATGTAAATTGTACAAATTCTCTCAGAGAAATATCAAGTCTCCAGCTTAATTTCACCTTAATTTGCCCTATTTTGCTACATTTGCTACCTATACTAACTCGGAATCTGAGCACAGATAATAAATTCAAGCATGTCTCAATCCAACATTCCAACACTTCTAAATCTGTGTGAGCCCTGTCACTTACATCAGGTAAGTATGTTGGTTTGAAGCTGGCGAAGTCTGTGATTAACACCCAGTTCCAGCCAGTGATCATGATGTTTTCAGACTTAATATCCCCATGGCAAACCTGAAAAAAGACATCTTGTGCAATAAATGTGTAAACACCAGTCAGCAATCTTCTAGCTGCATGATAGCGGTCTGTTACGGTAATAATCGATCTGGACCAGACAATCCAGTGATTGACATTAAAAGCATCGATCTACGCAATTTGGATACGATGACATGTATCAACCAAGTCAGTGAGTCAGACCTGGGCCCACTTGCACAAAGCGATCTTAGCGCTAAGATGATTTTAACCCCCATACTTTAACATAAGCTTACGATAGTCTTAGCGCTAAGATCGCTTTGTGCAAGTGGGCCCAGTCCAGGATCCACTGCCACCTCTTACGACCAGCATAGCTTGCTGGGGACCAATACATGCAATTCCATCAATCACAGTATCATCCCATTTGTATTACTGACCAAAATTAAATGCATACATTTGACTAATATGCGTAATGGTTATTTTCTGAACCAGTCATTTGACCATAGATACAATTATATGCATATATATTCATATAAATACACCATCAAAATACAGTAAACTACGTTTATAACGAACACGCTTATAACGAACTTATTTTTTAGTCCTGGCCATTTGTTGCATATGTGCTGTCAATATGCTTGTAACGAATTACGGTTATTACGAACTAAAATTAGTGGTCCCTTTGAGTTCGTTATAACCATAGTTTACGGTAACCTCATTATTTTGCTATCATTATGACCAATGTGATAGTGAGTCAGCCTCGTCAAAAGTTTTTCATATCATGGCCTGTCAAATGAATGTGCAAGTGAAGCCCATCGTGACTCAGGTCATAGATGTAACTACTTTTGAGAAACAACTCACAAATCCTGGCCAGGGCCCCGTTCCTCAAAGCGATCTTAGAACTACGATGATCATAAGCCTATGTTAAAGTATGGGACTTACGATCACCTTAGCGCTAAGATCGCTTTGAGGAACGGGGCCCTGGCTGAGGATTATAGGGATGGGTACTGGATGTTTAAAGTGTATCACAATATTTTACAATGCACAAGGATGTATTGGGATACATATCCAGTATTGTATATATCTAAATTTTGAATTTAGAAGCAATTTGAAACACCAGTTTGTGAATTGAAGTTCATAAATGAAAGAAAACAAGATGCTGGTAGAACATAATGTTTACTCATTCAATAAATACACATAGATGCAGGCTCTGGGACAGTGGTGACTTGATGTTACACAACTGTGAAATCCAGAATGCGAACTTGCATTTTGGAATTAAGAAAACATTTCAAAGGTTCATGTATTTGGCAAGTGTATAACATTAAACACATGATAAAAATTGCTTTTTTAATTCACCCGATATACCGAGCATTAAATAATGACAGTGAGATACGTATCGTCAAAAGAATGAACCTCAATTTACCGATATTACTGGTAATACCGTGCACCCTTACTGATGAATGCAACTCTTTATAATTAAGTATAGTGCCACCTTGCCCGTTTTATTAAAGAAGTAAAAGGTCTACCTTGACTTTGTGACACTGATTTAGGGCACACAACATCTGAAACGCTATCCACTTCTTCTCAATACTGTTGAGGAATGGCCGGGTGCTGATCCTATCATACAAACTGTCTTTAACATACTGTCGGAACAGCAAAGCAGCTTTCTCAGATTGCTGGAACAAATTGTTGTCATTATTTACATCATTCTTAAAACCATATACTATTAGGAACAAATCACATACTATTATGAGGAACAAATCATATACTATTATGAGGAACAAATCATATACTATTATGTGGAACAAATCGTATACTATTATGAGGAACAAATCATATACTATTATGTGGAACAAATAATATACTATTATGAGGAACAAATCATATACTATTATGTGGAACAAATAATATACTATTATGAGGAACAAATCATATACTGTTATGAGGAACAAATCATATACTGTTATGTGGATCAAATCATATACTATTATGAGGAACAAATCATATACTGTTATGTGGAACAAATCATATACTGTTATGTGGAACAAATCATATACTATTATGAGGAACAAATCATATACTGTTATGTGGAACAAATCATATACTATTATGAGAAACAAATCATATACTGTTATGTGGAACAAATCATATACTATTATGAGGAACAAATCATGTGCTATTATGAGGAACAAATCATATACTATTATGAGAAACAAATCATATACTATTATGTGGAACAAATAATATACTATTATGAGGAACAAATCATGTGCTATTATGAGGAACAAATCATATACTGTCATGTGGAACAAGTCATATGGTAAATACTTCTTAAAGAAAAATGTGAGAGAGATCATTAACCAAGTTTCCATTCCATTAATATCTTATCTAAGGAATAGCCTTTTCTTATTCTTAAAATATGATATTTGCAATACAGAAAAACTCTCCTTTAATCTCACCAGCAATATCTCCTGTGGGAGCCAGTATCGGATAACAAACATAGAATATACTATACAAGCTACACTTTCCAAATACACACAATGCTATATTTAAGCACCACTGGATCTATTTGGTACTCTGCGAAAGTACAGATATGATATTTTCTGTGAAAGTTAGAGTGAATGATTGTATGTTTTGGAACTGCGTTCTAGCAATATTCCAATAGGGGTCACAAAGAATGAGCTTTGTATATTGATGCAGGGAATCAGTTGTGTTTAACACATCATACTTTAGTTGTATGTAGCACATCTGTGTGGTAGGAAAGCCATGTGCACTGTAAATGTTGCAGATGTTGTAGATGTTTACAACATTGGTGAGAAGCCCATTCGCAGGGTGACAGTGCTGGCAGACCCAAGATCATAATACACGTAGAGATATAAGTCTTAGATATGAACCAACAATCGATGGATCCTGGCCTGGCCAAGAGACACAACTCTTCACAATGTATTGCTGAGTCCTATAACCTTAGGGCACCATGCCCCTTGCTGGAATGGAAACAACAGAGCTCAAAATAAAGATGTGCTAAGAAACCCAAGTATTTAACTGTTTTGAACTCACAATGGCTTTTTGAAATGGAAGACAGTTTGATGTTCCTTTCAGACGCTGGCTTATTTCTGAAAGAGAAATCACATCCAAAATTACTATTGTAAAATGTTTAATCCAGATTAATTGCTCCTGAAACGTATAAGTAGAAAGGATAGAATGTAGACTTGTGAATACAGTTACAAAGGCATTTGTTAAAAATAGAATTATATTTTAGAATTTGCCTATATACAACAATTAATTTATTAGCTTTGGTCCATGCCATTTTATATCAAAATCAAGAGTAAACCTACCTTCCAGCTTATCCCTGTGGGTTGACAGAGGCAGTGAGGGATCATGGATAACAAAGACTTTAACAATTGCAAGTCCTTCTTTGCAGCGTGCTCGTGCAACTTTGAAAAACCTTGTGCTTCCTTGGCTGAAATGGTTAATACAGCATAAATTTATCACACAACAGCCCTTGAAATATATGACTGTTTTAGATGGATATGATGAAATAAATCTAAAAACATAGTTCATTCTAACAAAAATATATCTCCAAAAATGTAATCCAATCAATGCTTTCATAGCCCAATCATTGATATTTTATAAATCCTTCCAGAACCCATGCCTAAAGCTGTAATAATGCACATTCTTGCAATATGATACTTATCTTAACATCCTATAGGTCTCGACATTATACAAAATACATTCCATTCATATCCATTAATTACCAACCATTACCTTGATAATGAAACACCATGATAGGATAGATAAACATTTCACTACCTCTGACCATGTGTGCATGGTGTAAGATACAGTTTATAAGGAAACTGATTCAGGCCGAGTAATATATAATCTCCAATCAGAAAAAAAGGGAAGGATAATGACTCACTTGGTCTCAAACTCATAGTCAGGAACATCTGACAGATACTGCTCCACTGGAAGAATCTGGGATGGAGCAATCCCAGTCAGTTGGTTGCCCATTGTTTACGTCAGCTTCCACTTACTGTTTGGAAATGACAGAACAAACATTAGGAAATGATGAAAACGCCCCTTCCATCTTAATATTATAATCTGACAACACACTCAGTCCTATCAGCTCTTGAATATACTAATCAATCACCATACATATTATTACATAATAGGGTTCCCATGCTGTCAGACATTGCAGATAGGTCTGTAATCCTGCGTTTTTCTGCCTTATTATTAGTAGGGACCTCCTAACATTAGTTTTATCATATGTTTATGACAAAAAAAACTTAATTTCATTCTCAATTTTGAACACATTACAATATAGCCTTAGTCAACTGTCACAGAAATCATAAAAAGAATTCCTCCTCAAAATTTGAAATACATGCTGAACATTTCATAATGAATGTATTTCATCACAGACTGGTAGATTGGCCAAAACACTTGTTAATCCCCAGAACACAGAATGTGTCATAACATTCTTTCAGAAATAACTTTGGTAAGCACTATTTACCTGATTATTTTTTAATATCAAAATGAGAAACAGAAGACAAGCATTTGAAATGGAAACGCCCACTTATCTGTCAACATATTTTTCTCATCAATTTTGACAACAGGTGTCGATCATCATGTCATGACAGTATTACATACTGAACCCTCCCTTAAATCATTTTGCTTCTTTGCAAAGACCTAGCATTTGCCTAACCCTCTTAGCAACATATCTGCATAAGTGAATTAACACTAGTAATCTAGAATTTCCTTCAAAAGTAAGTGCAGCTGTCTAAAGATCAGACATACATGTAGCATGTGTATGTTGTGGTACTATTGAATAATTTTCTGGCAAATCCTTTTAATAACATTAACCTCAAACTAATCGTTTGTAAACCAAACACAAACTTCTATTGAGACCAACAGGGCAAATAAAATTCGTCTGCTTGAGTTTTGAGGCAGTGACTTACAATGGAATCATATAGATCTGTACTAAAGATTAATCTGCAACACAGTAATGACATCCTTACATACACCAAACTCAGAATGAATATTTATCGGACAGGAGATAAGACAAATAACATACTGCTCATGGGTAGAAGAAATAAACGTAAAAATCACAACAGTAAAACTGTTGTTTTCTTCCTTTTCAGAGCACTGATCACTTCCGGTAAAGGATACTATTTTCTTAGAAACACATTACATCTTTATTATGTCCTATGTCAAACATCCTCAAAAAAAGACAGCAAAAACATTTTAAGGAACAATGTTATAAATCAAGTAATAGAAGCTGATATGGCTGTTTTTTTTGTTTCATACAATTTATTAATATTCAAATATATTTTCACATTTATTTTTCTGAATTTCAACTAGTTACATAGGATACAGTTTCAATCTTTTCTACTCTTGTTACCACCTATCACAGTCATTTTTTCACATTTGTTGAACATTTTGAACAATATATTCAATTATAAGTTACTCAAACACTTTACAAAATACATATAAAAATATCTGTTCAGGTCTTGGGTTTCATAAATACTATGTTTAAAACCAAATACGACAAAATGCCGCCATTTAATGTTAGAGAATATATTATTTGCCAACATGGCGGCTTGCGAAGAACTTCTCACGCATGCCTTTCCAAACATTGACGAGGAAGTGTCAACTTACGTGAAAGGTTTTTAATTAATTTGATTATTATGCTCGTATTCTGTTTCTTGTCTTTTTCCTTTTGTAGATGAACTCTCGCATGGACTTCCCCGAAAGACCAGATGATTGACACGTGCGGTACCGGTCCCCTGTCATTATTATCTGTTGTGCAATGTTGGGTAGAGTTCTGAACCGACTAGATTAAAAAAAAAACAACTACACAATATTTAACGACTTAAACTAATTGCACACTAACGAGTAAATATTCAACAAAGATAATAAAGACGTTCCAAAGACTAAATGCGAAAAAAGAGAGGAACATTCTGAGGCATTCTAAGTGACAAGACTGCAGCTTATGCGAAGCTTATTATTAAATGAGTCCAACTGAGGCTCATGCTTCACTCGTCTTGATTGCCTCTTTGATCATTGGCATGTTGAGCACACCCTCTAAATGGGTGAAGTCAGTTTCCCAAGTTGGGAAAAAAATCACCTGGGAAGCAGCTCGAAAGCAGCAAATATTCCATGTGCTGCATATTGCAACTGGCTACTGTTTGTTCATAGTTTCTTGGAAACGTCTGTCACCAACCAAAATGACCAATACCATTTCTTAACCCATTTTGGTACATTTCTTTGCTGTTTCTGATCAGGTCCTAAAAGAAATACCTGTGTTTCCAGTAAACTGACTGACCTATTATTTCATTTATGACAGAATGTTTTTATCATAGTTATCGTCAAGAAGCCTATATCCATGATATCTCTGCATTCAGAAACAAATCAGATCATTCTGCTTTCCCATAAAGTTGAAGGTATCGTATATAGCTGTGTATAAGGCAAGTTTTTCGTACCTCAAATTAGGGGGCTTTCAAGGGGGCTCGTCTTATACACAGGGTTGGAGAGCTTTGATGTTTTTCCCCCCAACACAGACAACTGTGAGCATGTAACACCAGAAATAACAAATCAACAAATCCATAATGAAGTACGCAAACTAATGATGTTGTTACACTGCCTGGTTATAAAAACAGTTCATTATATATCTGGACTTACCTTAATCTTTGTAATCTATTTTATTAATTTTATTCAAAATTTCATTCAATATATTGTTTATTTTCATTTTGGCAAAATTGTATGTGAAGTGATCGGAAGATCGCACAACTCACTGTTATTTACAACAACCACGGTCATATTACCTTCATTGATGCCTTGAAACAAACTTTAGTGAATAGAGAATGGATATACATATATCATAAATGCCATACTGTGACTGGCTGAAAGTCATATTTGTTGTAGTTTGACTATTATTTGTCAGCATAATGTTTTCATATCGCGAGCGCAGAAGCATCAGCGGTGATTGGTCAAATTATTCCATGCGAATAAAATATCTGGAAACAGCGATCAGCAGTACCAAAGTGCTATGCTTATGGTTATTAAATTATTTCAAATATATATCGTAAAATACTACTAAAATAACATGATATTGGAATAAATGATTCCGAAAAAAATTTTAGTTTCAGATTCAATTCTTTCATTTATTGTATCAAGTTATATTATTGGGTAATTATTAACAAAATCACCGGTTGATTTCGAGAAACGTGTGTACAGCTGATTGCTACTTCCGGCTTGGTTTATGAGAAAATACACACAGTAATCTTAATCAGAACAGGAAATACAATTTGATCGGTAAATGATCATGTTTTATGTTTTAAATTTGTATTGACCAAGTTTAGTTGTTATGATCTGTTCGTTTCCCTGAATGCGCTGAAGGGAAATGATGTTATTTTTTTCTGCTGAAGACGTTTTTCTTGCAAATGTAGGGATTGTGTATGCGCTGAAGATGTGCTTCATTCTGATTCGCTTTATAGACAGGGTATATAAATTAGCTGACCAGAAACAGTTGTCACCAACTGAACAATTAGCGTCTCATGAGTCGTAACAAATGTTATGTTTTCTGCCTCGTGCATGTGCAGTTGCATTTCCTGCAGAGGACAGGGTTTTCCTCACAACTATTAGATATGTTAGCAGTGAAGAGGACGTCTTTTGAAAATTTAAAATAATTTATTATAATGTGATTGGCAGCCCAAACAGGAATTAATGGCTATGATTTAATAGACATGATAGAGGTAGTATTCTTGGAGTTATACACAACGATAACTATTGTTGGATGAATTTCTGTGTAGATTTTATGTTCACACGCACGCACACACGCACGCACTTGCGTCGTTTAACTCCATTTCACCACCTTATGGAAAATTTGTCAGATCTTCTAAATATTGACCATTGTAATGATCATGCCAACTTCATTGGTTTAGATTTCCTCGGCGGTGGAGACTATGTGCACACATGAAAAAATACGAAAAAAGTCTGTTGCTAATCATAATATTGCTGTATGGTCGTTTGCTTTTTAGGCCTATTGGAGGATTGCTGTGATGACTTTGATACGGCAGATGACCTGTTTGATGCAGTGGGTATTATGCTGCTGCAGGCTGATGGGGAGAAGTCGGAGGACGACGTCATGGAGATATGTCAGAAACTCCACAGCCTCCTGGCAAGGTAACCTGAGTGTTGGAAGTAGTTAATTTTTTAACTTAACCTTTGTCACACTATGCATTTCTCTGTGCTCGTCAATCCTGGTGAGGGGAGGTCGGGTAGCCTAGTGGTTAAAGTGTTCGCACGTCATGCCGAAGACCCGAGTTCGATTCCCGACATGGGTACAATGTGTGAAGCCCATTTCTGGTGTCCCCCGCCGTGATATTGCTGGAATATTGCTAAAAGCGGCGTAAAACCATACTCACTCACTCATAAGAGAATAGACACATTTGAACCTAGTAAATCCGAATCTATCATATTGATATATCTGCCAAGACTTTATTCCTGTTGCAATGTCCTACTATTGTTATTTTCACCCATGTTAACCCTGTGATATTGCTGGAATATTGCTAAAAGGGGCGTAAAACCATACTCACTTGCTCACTCACTCGATCCTTGTGTGGAAACGTCCAAATTCCAGCTTAAAAAAACAACTCATCCCATGCATCACACAACAATCACCACTGTGATTATGGGTCACGCACCACTGCAATCCTGTGTGACCCCAAGATGCGACTATGTAAGAAGTATTTTTTTACAGTGTTACAGTATTTATTTCTGTGTTTTCGTTTGTAAACAGTGACTCTAGGATATCGATGAACGGTCAGCACCGTGTCCTGGATGCCCCCGTCCACATCGGATCCAAATCCTTAGACTTGACCGAGATGAACGATGAGGACAGCAGCATCTGGCTGAAGAAGAGGGACATGGGCTCAGTGAGTTCATCCTCCGGGGAAAATATTTTGAAATCAGACCCTGTCGTGTACTTTTTGCAAAAAATTAATCAACAGAGAAGCATAACCACTAAAGCTACATCTCTAATTTTTGACCAGTGAAAGTTTGGGAAGGACTCCTTGTTTATCCCCCAAGTTATTTTTACATATGACTGAAGTTTGAAATGAACTGCAGAGCAGTTTCCTTTAATGATGGTGTCTACCTCTGAACTTCCATATAATTCAATCGTGTCCGTCTTGCGAAGTGTGGTGATCTGACTCCGTGGTCTTGTGGAAAGAGCGTCTGCCCGAAGAGAGGAAGGTCAGGGTCGATCATTAAAAGATGGTACTTGTTGTTACCTGTCTGGCGCTTGTCAGTAAATTGATGAAACAAGGACTGGTTGGCTCAGTCAGTATGCGGTCTCTGAATGGTGTGGTATCGCAGCTAGCACTGTAAAACCGGCATACCGTATTCGATGTAATAAGCGCCCAGGGCGCTCTCAAAATTAGAAATAGAGGGCTCTTATTAGAATTGTATTTTGTCGAAAAAAAGAGAGTTGAAAGATAAATTTCGTGGTTTATGCTGACAGCCTGAAATGTTTATATATGAGAGATATATTTTTCCAGAAATTAATAGCCCATAATTAACGGTGCATATAACACAGGAGTGCGTATTATACGCGAATAAATAAGTATTGTGTACATTGATCAATCGGAAGGGGTGCTAATTGGGATTGTTCATGAGCCAATATATTAGCAAATATCGCCATGAGCGCTTATTAGAGCGGGGCGCTTATTACCGTATATGACCGCGGATAAGCCGACCCGTAGATAAGCCGAGGTGTTAACTTGACCATTGAAATATGAAAGAAAATGATATGACCCGCAGATAAGCCGAACCAGGAAGTGAAAGGCAAAAAAACACTGCAAAGTCGGACTGCAAGACATGTGCTGGTACTCGCAGATATTCAAAAATATAAGATGAAAAAGGTTGTAATTATATTGAAAAAGTCATTATTATTTCCAATAAAGATTTAACAAACCAGTCATCCACTTTCAAAATTTGGGAAGCTGTTTCTCTTGGTTTTTTTTAATCTCATAACGATCGTTATATGTTGCCATCAACAACGAAGCGCCATTTTGTGAATTGATGTATATAGAATTATGAACCCGTGAGAAAATATATCAGCGTCGTAAACATGGCGTTTTCGTTTCAAACTCATGATGGGAATGTCAGTCAGTTCGTTCGTATTAAGTGGTTTAATGTCCGCTTCACATTGATTGTATTTCGCGGACGGGGTAGGTGGCCTTAATAAAGAATAATAGGTTATGAATAGATAAACACCGTACCCAAAAAACTGTAAAGTGGGATGGGGTGGGGTGGGGTGGGGTGGGGTGGGGTGGGGTGGGGTGGGGTGGGTGAAAAACTATTGTAAGTGGCTGGGAGTGGGAGTAATGGGCAGGGTACTTAGTGTAGCAGTTAATCTGCTATAAATAAAGGGGCCTTGTTAAAGAAAGAAAAAGGGTTATAAAGTTGCTGGTTTGGTTAGGGTAAGTTGAGGGGTGGGGGGGTTGGGGGTGGGTGGGAGTTGATTTGGTTATTCGTGTGTTGACACGTGGCTTGTGAGCGTGGGGTGCTGGTGGCTGGTGGCTGGTGGCTGGGTGAGTGAACTACGAGAGAGTTGTATGGTTGAACGCGATTAGAGGGGTGGACGTAGGAGAAGTGAGCTTTGGCTTGTGAATTTGGATCCCGATCCTAAAATATTTGATGAGTGTAATAATTAGTGTGTTATTGAGAATTGGATACGGGGGGGGTCTAAAAGCGTTTGTTGAGATCTGCATTTGAAATAAATGAGGCTATGGCGTCGAAGATGTTTTGGGGGTTGTCTGGGGAGAAAAGTTTGGAGATGTTGTATTGATAGGAAGAGGGGATAGACTAAAAAGTTGAGAACGCTGTGTGCTATAGAGAGGACAGATATTAAATTTGTGATCTAGGTCCTCGGGTGTGTGGCAGTGGTTACAGTTACCATCTGTGTGTCTGTTTTGTTTGAAGACATTGAGATTAAGAGTTATATTACCACTAATGATCCTTGTTATAATTTGGTCCATGTGTGTGTGTTTTCTGTAGTTGCGACATTTGATATTGGGTTTGATGAAAAGGGTCTTGATCCAATGAGAGTTGGTATGTTGCAGAGTTTGGTTGTGGTTGTGGGTTTTGATAGATTTTTTAAAGAGGTTTTTAGTTTCGGATTTAGATGTGTGGAAGTATTTTTCCAGTGATGGTTGGGAGGTGGCTGTCTTGGCTGATGTATGCGCTGTTTGATTGCCTGAGATGTTTGAGTGTCCCGGGGACCATAGTAGTTGGATATGTTTGTTGCTTGTTTTTAGTTGATTAGTTAGGTGTATTACGTTATTTATTAAATCTGGTCTAGTTTTTGAGCGTTTGATCTTGATTTGTGTGAGTGCGCTAAGTGAATCGGAGATGATAAGGAAGTTTTGGTAGCGTGTATTGCTGTGAGTATTGCTAGGAGTTCTGCAGTGTTGTTGTTAGTGTGTTTTTTGTAATGGAGGTTTGTTGTGATGGGGGGGTTGTGGTCCATGTGTATTCCTATCCCTGTTTTATGGTTAGTGTTTTGGGAGGCGTCTGTGTATATGGTAACCTCCCAAAACCCCTACATCCCATTTCCCCTACAGCTTAAGACTACAAAGTTCACGGTCCATGGCACTGCTAATCCCTAGTCTGTTACCTATTTCATACAATGGAACAACCCAAGAAACTCGAACAGATTGAGATAAATATTTAATTACGATTACGATATTATTCAAAATTAATAATACATTATAATAAAAGGTTCATTTTTCAAAATTCATAATACGTTATAATAAAAGGTTCATTTTTCAAAATTCATAATACATTATAACAAAATGTTCATTTTTCATCTCAACTGTAAATCGTCTCATCTCAGTTTCTCAGTGTAATAATTGTTTCTTCCTATTGTTGTTTGTAATTTCTAAAAATTGTCTTCTCATCATACAGGCATCTTTCATTACACTTACATTAATTTTTTTTTTTTAACTTTCCTTTAAGTCCCCTAATCCCCTAAAGCTCTACCCCTTTCATTTATACTACCTCTGCTCCAGATCTTAATCTCTCCTTTAGGTGAGTTCATAATGCCAGACAGGTAAATGCCGTGTATATGTGAGTGGTTGTTGGCCAGGCCGTGTGCAGGTGATTGAGTGTTAGTCGTGTCTTCTCAGCTGTTGTGATGTTTGGGTGTGTTTGGAATATCTTATGTAGTGTTGTGTCAACGTGTGTCAGTCAGTACAAATATACCCACTTTTATACCCCCCTTTATACCACAATTGTATGTTAATCCAATTGAATTAAATAAACTATGAACACATTGAATGACCATCACTTACTTACAGGCTTCTCCAGTTTATTAAACTAATCTCTCGAAAACTAAGGAATTAAGCCCCTACTCCCAACACGATCGCTAAGCACCCACACCTTGAAAATGTTTCTGTAAACAACATGACAATACCAATCGGCCCGTTATTATCAGTGCTCATTTCCTTGTGTACCGTGTTGCTTTTTAAACAACAGGAAGCAATCACAGTGGTCACCGTTTGTGACGTCACAGGAAACAGCTGATCACATGTTTTTGCAAATGGCGAACGGAATAACTCGCCGTTACAGTTGTTTATTTGCCTCTTTCAATAAAGGTAGACACTTGTTCCTTATCAATTTATGAACTTTGCAAAACGAACGTGATAGCTATTGGCGATTTCATCTGGGGATTATATATTATAGCTGTGAATTACATATATTGCTACATGTAAAGATTGTGGAGTTTATGAAGAACGATAAACTTTGAACATTCAATTGAAAAATTATTATCGGAAGTAGTAACATGCATAATATTTTTTTTGATAATGACAACATTGGTGTATACTAATAACTTTATTGATAATTTATAACAATAATGGCTCTTGTCGTTGCAACTTCCAAACTTTTGGGAAGTTGTTATCTATCGGACCGTCATTCAGGCGATGTTTCTGACAGATCACGATCTGAAAAATACTATCATGAAAGTGTATCCCGTGGATAAGCCGACCCTTTTCTACAGAATCTTTTTTCTGGTCCTCAAAATTCAGCTTATACGCGGTCATATACGGTACGTCAAATACGGTAAGTCAGACTAATACAAGCAGCCACATAGTTAGGATATTGCTGATTGTCCTAACTCCACGTTAACTCACTGAATCATGGACGTATTGTGTTGTAGAAAGTGAACCAGAAGAAGCTAGTGAAAGCTGAGGCGATCAGACAAAAGAAGCTGGATAAACGATCTGAGAACCCGGTTAAACCTGCAGAGATTGTGTAAGCCAGGAACATTGATTGTTTCATAAGAGAATAGTGACATGCCTATCACATCGATATATCTGCCAAGACTGTTGCAATGTCCTACTATTGCTATTTTCAACCATGTTGACCCCTTAATGTATAAAGGGGCCACGGGTGGCACAGTCGTCTCGGGTGCCGCGACTCGCTGTGCTGAGTTGCGTCCCTTTGGCACGCCAGAAGCCTATGATTGTGGGTTCGAATTCCGGTTCGCCCCGATTATGTTTCTAGGTTCATCTCATCACCATACCAGTGCTCGTGGATTTCACTGAAGTGGTAAACGTCTAAGACCTGCATCACTTCGGTCTTTCCTCCCACATTAAACTGACACACCGTGATGTAACTAGAATAGTGTTAAAAGCTGTGTTAAACCCAACTCACTCACTCAGTGTACACCAACTGTTATGTGTGTTTTCAGGTTGGAAACTGCCAGTGCTAGTCAGCAGATCAACAGGAAGGATGCCAAGCTTGATGCTTCAGGAACTAACCGCAGCTACGACATCCGTATAGAAGACTTTGATATAGCATTTGGGGAAAGGTGATGGTCTTTCTCTTTTGTTGGTTGCGTCATATGTGTATAGCTGAAATATGTAAATGTTTTTTTGCTCACCTTAACATCTGTGGGTATTCCCTATTGCCAAGACCGCCTCCGTGGTCTGGTGGGAGAGCGGAAGGTCTGGGGTTCGATCCCCGGCCGCGTCATACCAAAAGACGTTAAAAGATGGTACTTGTTGTTACCCTGTCTGGCGCTCCGCACTAAGGGGCTAAAATAAGGACTGGTCAGCTCGGAGTCAGTATACTGTGTCTTAGTGGGGTATTCATGTTAAACTGCAGCATGGTATCTCAGTGAGCTAGCACTATAAATCGGCATCAGTCCGGACTAGTACAAGCAGCCACACAAACACACACACGTACATGCACGTCGCTATATGAGTGCAATAATCTTGGACGTGACATTAAACCCCATTTCACCTCACCTAACCCTATTGCCAAAGTAGACTATACCACAACAAGCAATGACGATCAGATGGTTACAATGTGTGACCTTTCTGTTGTGTCTGTGTCAGTGTACCCCGACATCATGAATCAAGAATATCAGTTCATGGTTTGCCAAGTCCGTACTAGAAATACTCTGCCATGATGTAACTGGAAGGATATTGGTGACTACAGTGCAAAACAATGCTCACTCACTTTTAGATGATTTGAAAACATTCATTGCAACAGGACCAAAATTAATCCTGTTAATGGAACAATAATGTTTATGAATTTTAGGTGTGTTTTTAGTATTAGTTGACTATTAGTTGGAGGATTACAGATCTAGGTGTGTGCCTCTTGTCGTTGTGTGTCTAATCCCTAGTTCCAACTGATGCAGGGTGCTGATGACTGGGGCAAGTATCCATCTGATAACTGGACGCAGGTATGGATTTGTCGGCAGAAATGGCCTCGGAAAGACCACACTACTCAAGATGATTTCCAGGTAGGACACTATCACTTTGTAATCTGCTTTATAATTTGCTGTTCAGAGTTGTGTCCCTTTGCTGCCAGGATCTCCTGGTTGAGGGTTGATTTCTAGATTTTGTCTGATTATGAACCCTGGTTCACGTGTTGTCACTTAGGGCTTTCCTCCCAGATTCAGCTGATATGCTGTGACTAGGTTACTGGTTCTGAACCATACCTCTTCCACCTCTTCCTCTTCCTCGTCATTAGAGGCGAAGTGTCTATTCACCAAAATCTTACTTGGGTAAGGTAAAGCGATGTCTCCCATTGTGCCAACAGTAAAATCATGAAATGATACGGTCTGATGCTGAGAAAGTGATGCGAGATGCGAGATACGAGATACGAGATTAACCTGTCCATACTGAGACAACGAAACAATGTAGGCACAATGGTAAACACTTGTGAAATGAAATAAAAACACAGAAAAAAAGTATAACAATAGTTTTGGCAATGCTTTTTCATGTCTCCTTGTAGATATCGCTTCGATGAAATTTCATCACAATGCTTTGCAGACCTTTGTGACGTCAATGGTTTTCATGATGTCACAATCAAATAACATCACTAATTTCTCTGCCATGGTAGCCAGGGTTAGGGTTAGGGTTATGTTTACACTCAAGACACTGGTTGTTACTGTTTACAAAATGAAAAAAGTTGGAAGTATGATTTTAATTGATATATAGATATCTCACCCTTGCGTCTTTTGATATCAGATATATTAGCTAGCTCAAAGTTTTTAGGGGGCACGGGTGGCCCAGTCATCTAAGGCGCCATGATTCGCTGTGCAGAGTTGCATCCCTTGGGCATGCCAGAAACCTCTGATTGTGGGTTTGAATCCCGGTTTTCCCAGATTATGTTTCTAGGTTTGTCAGCACCATACCCATGCTCGTGGGTTTCACCGAAGTGGTAAATGTCTGAGACCTGCATCACTTTGGGCTTTCCTCCCACATTAAGCTGACATGCCGTGATATAACTGGAATACTGTTAAAAGCGGTATTAAACCCAACTCACTCACTCACTCAAAGTTTTTAACTTATATTTACTCTTATTGATAAATTTGTCCTCCCCAGCAATCAGCTGTTAATCCCGTCCCACATCTCAGTGCTGCATGTTGAGCAGGAGGTGGTGGGGGACGACACCCTGGCCCTGCAGAGTGTCCTCGAGTGTGACGAGAGGCGAGAAGGACTGCTGAATGAAGAACGCCAGTTGAACGTACAGCTTAACTCCACAGGGTAATGTTTAAGATTCAATTTACTGTAAGCAGTAATGATATGACTACCCAGAACCTTCAGCCTTGAGAGAGACATTTGTTCACTGACCAGTTGAGCTGAATGTTTGTGAGGATTGACTGCCCTTTGTACTGGAAATGATCTCACACATTGTATCAAATAGCCGAGTTCAGTGTGTGCTCAGTTGTCAGTGTTGGTATTCTTGGTCTTCAGGAATCCATGCTTGTCGTAATGGCATGGCTGATGCTTGTCATTGTATTCCAATTGATCAGACCGATGCTCATGATGTTAAACACTGGATTGTCTGGTCCATGCTTGATTTTTTTTTTTTGATTTTTTTTTTTTTTAACAGACCGCCGTCATATTGCTGGAACATTGCTGAGTACGGCGTTAAACAACAAACTTTTGATAAAATGCGCCCTCTATGTACCCATACTATTGAAAGAACTATTATGGACAAGAAGCATGTGTGGAATGAGGAAAACCCTAGTCACTCACTCACCCACTGAACATTTTTCGTAATAAACACTCCTCAAAGTATGTTCGAAGGTATGGTGCTAGGTTTTATCACTGCAAGGACACTTTATGTTTATGTTTGTGAGTTTTCAAGTTGAAAATGCACTTGTGGGATTCCATGTGTTTTCATTCTGATGCAGTGTAATTACCAATGAATTACCTGGCACATTGATGACACGAACACCATGCGAGAGTATGATGGTGTCAATAAATGTAATAAAATAATTAAGAATTGACCTTCACTTTGTGTGAGTTCATTGGAGTATGAACCTTCATAGAGTGAGGGCCAAACTGTATGAACGTCAATTTCGCGGTCATGTGACCGACCTCTTGTCCAATGGAAAAGCCGTATATAGTGTAAACTTCAAATTAAATAATTATTGATTATTATACCCCCATCCTAAAAGGGTGGTTGTATAGAGTTATGCCAAGAAATTCTGTCTGTACTTTCAAGGACATTTGTTTGTGCGACCTATTACTTGAAAACTACTTAATGGATTATTTTCAAATTTAGGAAACAGTTTCCATACTAATAGAAGAGGTGCAGTGCAGAGTTTGATTTTGATATGTGTATTTTCTGAATTTTCACAAAAATACCCAAAGTTTTGAACTTAGAATTTTATTTTACTTCATCATTTGTTTGGTCTATAACTTTAAAACTGCGACATAGATTCTTTAGTGACTTAGTGATCACTTACCATACCAACAGGAGAGATGCAGTGCGAAGTTCGATTTCAATATTTGTATGTTTTAAAAAAAATACAGCTATTTTTCATAGAATATTTTTTTACTTCAACATTTGTGCAACCTTTAGTTTGAAAACTACTTCATGGATTCTTTTCCAATTGGGGTACAGTTTTTATACCAACAGTGCAAAGGTTGATTTTAAAGAGTGGATTTTCTGAAAAAATATTGCTTTTTTCATGTTTTGAACTTAGAAATATTTTTATGCCCTCGACCTTCAATGATGCACCAGTGCATCTTTGAATCATGCCATGACTATGTTATATTACTGTGCTTTTTAAGAGAAACTGACTCAAACGTTACGGCAGCAATATATGTCCCAATAAATCAAAATAGTTCTTCAGCTGATGTTGGAGTAGAGGTCAGGGTTATTTGTGACCCCTGCTTACTTTCTGTCTTGTTATAATTGACTTTTGACATTGGTTTTCAGTTCTGCAGCGGACAAAGATGTTTCAGTGAGACTGAGTGAGATTTACCGCGAGTTGGAGGAGATTGAAGCGGACAAAGCCCCGGCCAGAGCAGCAGTTATTCTGGCAGGTCTGGGATTTTCGTCCGAGGGGCAGAGTAGGCCAACAAGGTAAGGACGGCTCTTCCTTAGTCAAAGATATAAGCGGAGAGGCACACCATTACAATTTTGGCAGAAAATCATGAAACAAATGTATTGACCAAATTCTGTCAATACATTATGCATTTTGTCAGGAAACTAAGCCAGTGATTTTTTGTTCTCTATGTCATGATATGTCACATTGGTGGCTTGGTTGTAGAAAGCTTCGTTTGTTTGATGTTTAATGCTGCACTCAGCAATATTTCAGTTATATGACGGTGGTCTGTAAATAATCGAGTCTGGACCAGACATTCCAGTGATTGACACCATGAGCATCGATCCACGAAATTGGGATACGATGACATGCATCAACCAAGTCATTGATCCTGACCACCTGATCCCGTTAGTCACCTCTTACGACAAGCATGGGTTGCTGAAGATATATTCTAACTCGGATCTTCACGGGTTGTAATGTTGGTTCCAAAAATATAGACAGTATACATCATACTTGTGTCAAGAACAAGAGTTTTGTCCTCAGTAGTGCATAGGGTAATGAAATGGCATTGTCACTCAGTTTTTGCTTGTCAAGTTTGTGACGTGTTCCTGGTTCTATGTCCTATGTCTGTTTCACAGAGAGTATTCCGGAGGTTGGAGGATGAGATTAGCCCTTGCAAGAGCTCTCTTCACTGAGTAAGTTGTGGAAACCCCTTGTTCAAGTGTTGGAAATCAGACAAAATAATGTGACTGAACAACTTTTTTGTAGTCTCTAACTAACATGACTAATTATCAATTATTGTATTGTTGTTTGTAAAAGATGTGTACACTAAATCAATTTTCCTAGAGAATGATTCTCAAGTGGATTATTATATAAATGTGAGGTTTTTTTCCTTTTCAGACCAGACTTGTTGCTACTCGATGGTAAGTTCAACAACATTGATGAGAAAACATTTTGATTGAATTTCATGTGTTGTCTCTCCTTCCAGCTTGACCGCCTCTTTGGTCTTGTGGATAGAGTGTCTTCCCAGAGAGCGGAAGGGTCAGGGGTTCGATCCCTGGCAGCATCATGTTAAAAGATTGTATTTGTTACCCTGCCTCACGACATTACAACAATTAAAACAAGGACTGGTCGGCTCACTCAGTCATGATACTGTGTCTGAGGAAGGTATTCATGTTAAATAGAGGCATGGTATCACAGTGGGTTAGCAACATCAAACTCATTAGTCTGGGCTAGTGCAAGCGGAGACCTGCTTCCACGCACATCGCTGTGTTGAGCAGTTACCTAGAATGTGACGTTAAACCTCCTTTCATCTCTCCTCGCCCCCAGGACATCAGCTCCCAATGTTTATGTTGACGCTGCCTAAATGTGACAGGGTAACACAATGTACGTGTGGTCTTGCTGATTGTGCATCTGGGGTTGCATTCTATCAGCTCGCCAGAAACCTGTGATTGTGGGTTCGAATCCCGGTTTGCCCCGATTATGTTTCTAGGTTTGTCAGCACCATACCCATGCTCGTGGGTTTCACCGAAGTGGTAAACGTCTGAGACCTGCATCACTTCGGTCTTTCCTCCCACATTAAGAAGCTGACACGCCGTGATATAACTGGAATACTGTTAAAAGCGGCATTAAACCCATCTCACTCACACACTCACTCACTGTGCATCATCAAACCTCGATGATGATACCATGATATGTTGCTGATGCTGTCAACCACTGGTATTCACTGATTACAGGCTGGTGAAGTCGCTTGAATGTTGCTGGCTGGAACTCTTCATGTTATTACCGATAGTTGTACATTCATGTGTCAGTATTTCCTGATGACCACTGACAATGATTGAGGAAGAAGTACATTTCCATAAATATCATCTTCCTGTTGATCATGTGATGCGTCTGTTCAATCAGTTGGTGGCTATTGTGATTTGAAATTTTTGATTGCCCATTCATGAATTTGATGTCATTGGCTCGGAAGTTCAATCAAATGCTTTCCATTTCCAGAACCTACAAACATGTTGGACATGAAAGCCATTATATGGTTGGAGAATTATTTACAGGTAGGCATGTCACTTGTTTCTGTGCTGTATTTGGGGCGGTCGGGTAGCCTAGTGGTTAAAGCTTTGCTCGTCACGCCTAAGACCCGGGTTCGATTCCTGACATGGGTAAAATGTGTGAAGCCCATTTGTGGTGTCCCCCGCCGTGATATTGCTGGAATATTTCTAAAAGTGGCGTAAAACCATACTCACTCACTCACTGTACTGTATTTATTTTTAAGTTGTGGCAAATACACAAAGCAGATGCATATAGAAACATTAAAATTAAGAAAATGATTCTAAGCATGTTTCACATGTTAAATCAAAGACAATGATTTTCATTTATCCAATTGTGCATGGATTTTTTTATGAAGTTTGCGATCATTCTTTCCAGAACTGGCCAAAGACTATTTTAGTAGTTTCTCACGATCGGCTGTTTCTTGATGCGGTTGCCACGGATATCTTGCATATACACTCACAGAGAATAGACTGTTACCGTGGCAACTATGAAGTGTTTCACAAAACCAGGGAGGAGAGATTGAAAAGCCAGCAACGAGAATATGAAGCTCAGAAACAGTACAGAGACCATATACAGGTAGGTGGAGCTACTCTGGTGGGCGTTTCAGGGCAGAGCAGGGTGTAGCAACGTATGACCTGGTGGGCATTTCAGGGCAGGGCAGGGTGTAGCAACGTATGACCTGGTGGGCATTTCAGGGCAGGGTGTAGCAACGTATGACCTGGTGGGCATTTCAGGACAGAACAGGGTGTAGCAACGTATGACCTGGTGGTTACAGGGCAAGGCAGGGTGTAGCAACGTATGACCTGGTAGGCATTTCAGGGCAGAGCAGGGTGTAGCAACATATGACCTGGTGGTTACAGGGCAGGGTGTAGCAACGTATGTCCTGGTGGTTACAGGGCAGGGCAGGGCAGGGTGTAGCAACGTATGACCTGGTGGGTACAGGGCAGGGCAGGGTGTAGCAACATATGACCTGGTGGTTACAGGGCAGGGCAGGGTGTAGCAACGTATGACCTGGTGGTTACAGGGCAGGGCAGGGTGTAGCAGCCTATGACCTGGTGGGTACAGGGCAGGGCAGGGTGTAGCAACGTATGACCTGGTGGGTACAGGGCAGGGTGTAGCAATGTATGACCTGGTGGTTACAGGGCAGGGCAGGGTGTAGCAACGTATGACCTGGTGGTTACAGGGCAGGGTGTAGCAACGTATGACCTGGTGGGCGTTTCAGGGCAGGGTGTAGCAATGTATGACCTGATGGTAACGGGGCAGGGCAGGGCAGGGTGTAGCAACGTATGACCTGGTGGTTACAGGGCAGGGCAGGGCAGGGTGTAGCAACGTATGACCTGGTGGGTGCAGGGCAGGGCAGGGCAGGGCAGGGCAGGGTGTAGCAATGTATGACCTGGTGGGTACAGGGCAGGGCGTAGCAACATATGACCTGGTGGTTACAGGGCAGGGCAGGGCAGAGCAGGGCAGGGTGTAGCAACGTATGACCTGGTGGGTACAGGGCAGGGCAGGGCAGGGTGTAGCAACGTATGACCTGGTGGGTACAGGGCAGGGCAGGGCAGGGTGTAGCAACGTATGACCTGGTGGGTACAGGGCAGGGCAGGGCAGGGTGTAGCAACGTATGACCTGGTGGGTACAGGGCAGGGTGTAGCAACGTATGACCTGGTGGTTACAGGGCAGGGCAGGGTGTAGCAACGTATGACCTGGTGGTTACAGGGCAGGGCAGGGCAGGGTGTAGCAACGTATGACCTGGTGGGTACAGGGCAGGGTGAAACAAAGTATGACCTGGTGGTTACAGGGCAGGGCAGGGCAGGGTGTAGCAACGTATGACCTGGTGGTTACAGGGCAGAGCAGGGTGTAGCAACGTATGACCTGGTGGGTACAGGGCAGGGTGTAGCAACGTATGACCTGGTGGGTACAGGGCAGGTTGTAGCAAAGTATGACCTGGTGGTTTCAGGGCAGAACACAATACAGTAACGTATGACCTGTTGTATGTCATATAGACCATACCCATGCTCAGGGGTTTCACTAAAGTGTTTCTAACATTCGCGCACTCACTCCGTACAGACAATGTCACATCTATTCCGTACAACTTATGAGTAAGTTGACGTCTACGCGGTCTCGTGGGTAGAGTGTCTATCCCCAAAGCCGAAGGTAGGTCGTTCGATCCCCAGGCCACACCATAATAAACCACATTCAAAGATGGGAGTAAAAAAAAAGCAAGAATACACAATGCCATTTAGAAAGTGTGGACTCCCAGTCGTCGGACTTTCATTTTTGTGGTAGCCTCACTCTGAAAGTGTGGGTTCGAAACCTGGATGGGACTCATTCTGTTTTGTTATAAGTGTTCAATGTTTACTCTGTTTATTCTGTCATGTGATAGTTTCAATATATTGGTCACTGTTGTTTACTCTCTCCTGTAGGTGTTTATTGATAGATTCCGCTACAATGCCAACAGAGCTTCACAAGTCCAGAGCAAACTAAAACTGCTGGACAAACTGTAAGTATGATGGAAGGGGAAGTTATCCTTTAAAAATCACTAGTTGCACAGTTTTCTGAGGAATTTGCTTTGCATTCATTCCAAGGTATTTTATTGTATTTTTTTATGTATTACACTTTTTGGTGTATATGCCACGGCACTCGAAAACCACAGGGTGTATAAATATCCACAACAGTACAAAAGCACAACCTTTATTATTTCCATTAAGAACTGCCCATTTTTTAGATGTATGCTGTTTTGCATGCAGAGAATTAGAATATTGTCACTGTTTGACTGATTAGAAACTTCACCTGATGTGACCTCTGTGGAGGGTTGTCTTCACGCAGGGATGTGAGATTGTGTTTCTCCATGGCTACAAGGGGGGGCACGGTTGGCCCAGTCGTCTAAGGCACCCAATTCGCTGTGCAGAGTTGCATCCCTTGAACATGCCAGAAACCTATGATTGTGGGTTCGAATCCCGGTTCGCCTCAATTATGTTTCTAGGTTTGTCAGCACCATACCCGTGCTGGTGGGTTTCACCGAAGTGGTAAACGTCGAAGACCTGCATCACTTCAGGCTTTCCTCCCACATTAAGCTGACACGCCATGATATAACTGGAATAATGTTAATAGCGGCGTTAAGCCCAACTCACTCAAGATGGCTACAAGATCCTTTGGGTACCTTTGATATTGATAACTAACTCCAGTCTTTCACCTTTGTTTGTTCTTTCCAGACCACCATTAGTACCTATTGCCAAGGAGACAGACGTTGTGTTGAAGTAAGTAAATATTATACAAATAACATCCAGGTTTTTTCTGAAGAATATATCTGGGTTTTTTTTCTGAAGAATATATCTGGGGGTTTTTCATGGTTTTTATCTTGATTTCTACCTTGCATGAAGTAGAATCAATGAGCTTATCAAATTCTTTTCCTGCAGAAATCTTGGTGTACATGGAATGATATTTTCTGTTTTTTATTGTGTTTGTCAGGTTTCCTGAGTGTGAGAAGTTATCTCCCCCTATCCTTCAACTGGATGAACTGACCTTCTACTATTCTAAAGACCAGCCAATCTTCAACAAAGTGTGTGTCAATGCCAACATGGATTCCAGGATTTGTATTGTGAGTAACATTGTTTTGTATTTTTTCGTTTCTTAGCTCACCTGGGTACAGTTTCACGAAGCACCATGACTTATCTTAAGTCTGTGTTAAAGTATTGGAGTTGTGAGTGCATGAGTTCTGAGATCGCTTTGTGGAACAGGTCCCTGGACCAAATTTAAGGTCAAAGAAGTTTTTCATCAAGGTTGTTTGTTTGTAATTGTCTGACTTCCATCATTGTGTGTAAACAGAGTTCGGAAATTTAGTGCAGCCCTTCAGGTTTACGCCGATGGTATTTGAATCTTCAAAATCTTTTTGTCTTTTTACATTAAGGGTATGATATGGACCCTTTGACTTTCGTGCTTTATTTCGAACACTGGCACTGGTAAACAACTTATATCTTGGTTCTGCTGAACTGATGAAGCTAAAATTTATTGTCCTATTCCTCCCAAATTCTACCGCCTCTGTGGTCTAGTGGTAGAACGTCTGCCCGGAGAGCGGAAGGTCCGGGGTTCGATCCCCGACCGAGTCATACCGAAAGACGTTAAAAGATGGTACTTGTTGTTACCCTGTCTGGCGCTCGGCATTAAGGGGCTAAAACAAGGACTGGTCGGCTCGGAGTTAGTATACTGTGTCTGAGTGGGGTATTCATGTTAAACTGCGGCATGGTATCTCAGTGAGCTAGCACTATAAATCGGCATCAGTCCGGACTAGTACAAGCAGCCACACAAACACACACATGTGCATGCACGTCGCTATATAAGTGCAATAATCTTGGAGGCGACGTTAAACCCCATTTGACCTAACCTACCAATTCTGATACCTAAATTTGTTCACTTCTGAAATGTTGCTAAGCTGCACTGGAAGAACCATATTCAGTGCAAGCATTTTGTACAAATACAGGCAAATTTCCTATTTCCTGTCATTATGGCCAACACTTTTGGTTGACAAAATGGTAACTCCTGGAACAGTTACCATGGTAACATGAACATCGTGTACTTCAGGTTGGAGACAATGGTGCTGGTAAAACAACGCTGTTGAAGATCCTTCTTGGCGACCTTGACCCTGTGAAAGGTATCCGCCATGGCCATCGTAACCTGAAGATCGGCTACTTCAGTCAGCATCACGTTGACCAGCTGGAGATGAATGTGACGTCGGTGGAGCTGCTGGCCGCAAGATTCCCAGGTAGGAAAGACTGGAACGATTCACCACAATATGAGTTGGGCATAACTTAATTAATGCTTTGCCGGGTAGTGATACACATACCGTATTCGACGTAATAAGTGCCCAGGGCGATCTCAAAATTAGAAATAGGGGGCTCTTATTAGAATATTATTTTGGTGAAAAAAAAGATAAATTTTGTGGTTTATACTGACTGCCTGAAATGTTTATATACGAGAGATACATTTTTTCAGAAGTTAATTGCCCATAATTAAGAGTGCATATAAAAAATGAGTATTATACGCGAATATAAAGTGTTGTGTACATTGATCAATCGGAAGGGGTGCTAATTGGGATTGTTCACTAGCCAATATATTAGCAAATATCGCTGTGGGCGCTTATTAGAGCGGGGCGCTTATTACGTCGAATACGGTAATTTCTTATGCTGTGCAGGACAGTTGGATGTCCGAGACGTTAAAGCATTTGCTTGTCATGCACATAGCCCAGGTTTGATTCCCAGCATGATTACAGTTAATGTTTGAACCAAGTACTGGCATATTCCTATACTCAGTCATATTTAATAACTGTCTGTGTAACAGATGGTCTGTCAACGAGTCTTTAAACTTATGTTTTGTCCAGTAAGATGAGCTAATAATATCGGATAAAATTGCCCTAAAATCTACTGAAAATGATGCTGAGACTGACAATCTCATCCTTAGTTTAATATCTTGGTGGCTGTGGTTGTTCTTTGAGTGCAATATTTGACACGTTTATATTATCATATCCAAGACATCCTTGCAGCAACAATCTCGGAGTTCACAATTTTCTTTGATATAGCAAATTTCAGATGTGATGTAGCTCAGTGAGTCTTGTGTGCCAGTGACCTCGTGAGTCCTGTGTGCCAGTGACCTCGTGAGTCTTGTGTGCCAGTGACCTCGGGAGTCCTGTGTGCCAGTGACCTCGTGAGTCCTGTGTGCAAGTGACCTCTTGAGTCCTGTGTGCCAGTGACCTCGTGAGTCCTGTGTGCCAGTGACCTCGTGAGTCCTGTGTGTCAGTGACCTCTTGAGTCTTGTGTGCCAGTGACCTCGTGAGTCCTGTGTGCCAGTGACCTCGTGAGTCCTGTGTGCCAGTGACCTCGTGAGTCTTGTGTGCCAGTGACCTCGGGAGTCCTGTGTGCCAGTGACCTCGTGAGTCCTGTGTGCAAGTGACCTCTTGAGTCCTGTGTGCCAGTGACCTCGTGAGTCCTGTGTGCCAGTGACCTCGTGAGTCCTGTGTGTCAGTGACCTCGTGAGTCTTGTGTGCCAGTGACCTCGTGAGTCCTGTGTGCCAGTGACCTCGTGAGTCCTGTGTGCAAGTGACCTCTTGAGTCCTGTGTGCCAGTGACCTCGTGAGTCCTGTGTGCCAGTGACCTCGTGAGTCCTGTGTGCCAGTGACCTCGTGAGTCCTGTGTGTCAGTGACCTCTTGAGTCTTGTGTGCCAGTGACCTCGTGAGTCCTGTGTGCCAGTGACCTCGTGAGTCCTGTGTGCAAGTGACCTCTTGAGTCCTGTGTGCCAGTGACCTCGTGAGTCTTGTGTGCCAGTGACCTCTTGAGTCCTGTGTGCCAGTGACCTCAGGAGTCCTGTGTGCAAGTGACCTCAGGAGTCCTGTGTGCCAGTGACCTCTTGAGTCCTGTGTGCCAGTGACCTCAGGAGTCCTGTGTGCCAGTGACCTCGTGAGTCTTGTGTGCCAGTGACCTCGTGAGTCCTGTGTGTCAGTGACCTCTTGAGTCTTGTGTGCCAGTGACCTCTTGAGTCTTGTGTGCCAGTGACCTCGTGAGTCCTGTGTGTCAGTGACCTCTTGAGTCTTGTGTGCCAGTGACCTCTTGAGTCTTGTGTGCCAGTGACCTCGTGAGTCCTGTGTGCCAGTGACCTCGTGAGTCCTGTGTGCCAGTGACCTCTTGAGTCCTGTGTGTCAGTGACCTCGTGAGTCTTGTGTGCCAGTGACCTCTTGAGTCCTGTGTGCCAGTGACCTCTTGAGTCCTGTGTGCCAGTGATCTCGAGTCCTGTGTGCAAGTGACCTCGTGAGTCCTGTGTGCCAGTGCCAGTGCCAGACAGGTAGCTGGTATATGTTTTATATGCAGTGGTAACAAAAATCAAACAAACATTTCTGTGACTGTAACATGAAGTGTCATCTTACAGGCAAGAATTCTGAATATTACCGGAACCAGCTTGGGTCGTACGGCGTGTCGGGTGAGCTGGCTACGAGGCCAGTCTCAAGTTTATCGGGAGGACAGAAGAGTCGAGTTGCCTTTGCTGTCTTGAGTTTAGCCAGGTGAGTTTGTCATTGTCCATCTGGCCTCGTTCTTACTCAGAACGACCTGTGAAGATTCCAGGGTAGAATAGGTCTTCTGCAACCCATGCTTGCCGTAAAAGGCGACTAACGGGATCGGGTGGTCAGGCTCGCTGACTTGGTTGATGCATGTCATCGATCCGAATTGCGTGGAACGATGCTCATGATATTAATTACTGGATTATCTGGTCCAGACTCGATTATTTACAGACCGCCGTCATATAGCTGGAATATTGCTGAGTGCGGCGTTAAACAACAAACTAACCAACTTAATCTTACTCAGAACAGAGTATATTTAATGTAGCTGAGCGGCACGGTTGTCTTTAGGTACTCTATTTATGTTCATGTTTCTCATGTGCTGCCCCGTCCAAGATGCTGCAACACATTATGCACATGGTTGCCTCCCTCATCTGCCAGTTTCCTTCACTGATCACCCTGTATTAAACCCACGAAGGTCCGGGATAGAATAGGTCTTCAGCAACCCATGCTTGTCGTAAGAGGCGACTAACGAGATCGGGTGGTCAAGCTCGCTGACTTGGTTGATGCATGTCATCGTATCCCAGTTGCTCATGATGTCAATCACTGCATTGTCTGGTCCTGACTCAATTATTAACAAACCGCCATCATATAGCTGGAATATTGCTGACTGCAGCGTTAAACAACAAACAAACCTATGTCATGGCCGGACAGGAGCAGTTGGCAGATTCTAGAGATGCCCTGTCATTCCTTTAACAAACTGATTTATAAGTTTCATGGGTTATGTTTTTCCCCAGAGGTTACTGTAATATTTTATCACTTTATAATGTATACATAACATCACGTTTCAGTCCGAACTTCCTAATCTTGGACGAGCCTACAAATCACTTAGACATGGAGACAATAGAAGCTCTAGGGGAGGCCCTGAAGAAGTTCAAGGTGAGAACAAGCATCTTACAACATAATAGGTTAAATATGTCACCATTCCTTCCGGCAATTAGCAGGATCAGGTCGTTGCAATGACTGAGCAGGGGACTCTGGGTAAGAAAGGATCTCTTGTTGTCAAAGCTTGTCATGTTCCCGTGTTCCTTGATTATATCGGGCCACGGGTGGCTCAATCGTCTGAGGCGCTGCGATTCGCTGTGCAGAGTTGCGTCCCTTGGGCACGCCAGAAACATGATTGTGGGTTCGAATCCTGGTTCGCCCTGATTATGTTTCTAGGTTTGTCAGCACCATACCCGTGCTCGTGGGTTTCACTGGAGTGGTAAACGTCTGAGACCTGCATCACTTCGGGCTTTCCTCCCACATTAAGCTGACATGACGCAATATAACAGGGATACTGTTAAAAGCTGCGTTAAACCAAACGCACTCTCACTCACTCACTCACTCACTCACTCACTCACTCACTCACTCACTCACTCACTCACTTCTTGATAATATACAAGCTGCGTCATATAGCTGGAATATTGCTGAGTGCAGGAAAAACAAACATATCATCACTTGAAGTTTGAGCTAGACAGTGAGGACTGGTTGAATAAATGTGGGATCGTTGCTTTTGATTTCTGCATCAGAACAGGTCCACAGTATCCCAGACTTGTAAGAGGTTATCAAGTTCATTGACATGGCTGATTGCATGGGGTTGATTTTTGCTCATGTTTTGAGTCATTGGTTTGTCAGGCAAATACTTGGTTATTTACAGCCAGCAGAAAATATGTCTGACATGTTGCTGAATGCGGTTTAAACAATGTTCCCTCACAACCACTAAACTGCCTGTCCCAGGCTCAAGTATGAAAAGGGTTGCTATGCAGCAGTTGGCCACTGTGTAAATGTTTTGGTTCGAACTGGAGAGCATGATTGGCTTAGTCATCAAAGGAGCTTTAATTTGCTGTCAGTTGCATCCTTTAGGCGTGTAGGAAACCTATGATCATGGGTTTCAAATCTCAATTCACTCTGATTATGTTTCTTGGCTTGTCAGCCCTTAACCTGTTTTTGTGACAAACATGATAAATGTCTAATACATGCATAGCATCAGGCTTTCCTCCACATCAAGCTGACAAACCATGATATACCTGTACTGTTCAGAGAGGCATTAAATTCTCTCTCTCACTCACTCACTCACTCACTCACTCACTCACTCACTCACTCACTCACTCACTCACTCTAATTCAGGGGCGGGTGGGTAGCCTGGTGGTTAAAGCGTTCGCTCGTCATGCCGATGACCCGGGTTCGATTCCCGACATGGGTACAATGTGTGGAGCCAATTTCTCATGTCCCCCGCCGCGATATTGCTGGAATATTGCTAAAAGCGGCGTAAAATCAAACTCACTCACTCAGTATAAATTGTATTTCTTCTGCCACCAGGGAGGTGTGATACTGGTATCTCACGACGAGCGGCTGATCAGGAAAGTGTGCAAGGAACTGTGGGTAGTGAAGGACAAGAACGTCGTGTCACTGGAGAATGGCATCGACGAATACAAGGAGCTTGTCAATGCAGAACTACAAGCACAAGTTTAGGAAATGGAAGGATCTGTGATATATATGAACTTTTAACTGTTATGTGACTGAGGAAATTGGTTGCATGGCCCGAAAATGTCCCGGAACCATACATAGTGTTCGGAATGAGAACTAAACATTTTTGTAACGAAGACTGAAAACAGCGTCTCGTATAGTCAGACTGTGACCTTGGAAAACAATGATGCAATTATTGACTAGGTTGAGTCAGTGTCTCAAATATCTTTGGTCAAGATGCATTTATGGTAGCCATGGCAACGGTCTTCCATGTTTGTGTCCATGGATACGGTGAAAGACACAGATGACTTCACAACATGAAGAATCTGCTTCATTGTGTGAAGCAAGTCCATAAGTCACTTGTTATGTCTGTGAATGAACTTTCTGCACTGCATGGATGCAGTCTGTTTCCACGGGTGATGGTATCTATGGTTACATGGTTACCATGGTGCAATATGGCACTTTTTGACCTGCTTGTTTTATGAAGCCTGATTCAGAATTTGATCGAACTGAATCTTTTTTTGAGGACAGATAGCTGAAGCTGCTGATGCAGGGCTTAGTTTGACGATGCACATCTATAAATAACTATAAAATATATAAAAAATAATTTTTTTACAAGATGTCTGTGTTCACCAGTGTCCTGGGCGGTGGGATAGCCAAGTGGTTAAAGCGTTTGCCAAAGGCCAGGGTTCGTTTCCCATATGGGTACAATGTGTTAAGCCCAAGTCTTGTGTCTCCCGCAGTGTTATTTCTGGATTATTGTGTAAAAAGTGGCGTAAAACCATACTCGCTCACTCTTCCAATGTGCCCGGTCTCCCCGTATCATCAGTGCGTTGTATTGGCTCTTGGTTCCATTGTTAAGTTTAGAATCATATCCTTTATTTTGGCTTTAATAACTCAAGCACCATCATCTCTCCCTGAACTTATATTAAGTATTAGGGCTGGGATGAGTCCAAATTGTCTTCCCGGGTATCCGGCCCCCTATTACCCAACCCTACCCGGGCACCCATTGTAGGTCTCTGGAGTTGGGAACAAAATGTCTGATTGGGAATTGCTTCACTGCAGCCCTGGCAAAAGCTATTTATAAAACGATCAGATCATGCGTACAATGAAATTGACTGAAGTTTTATCTTTACTTAAACAAACTTATACAAGCCGAAAGGATTATGTGCATCGTCTGAAAAAAATGTGAACATAAGGATCTTCTAGTGTAACGACTAAGCTATTGTGAGTTTTTGTCATTAAATTATACATCCGGATAGTACTGTGGGTACCCGTGTCCTACTCAGGACCCACCCGACCCGAGTACCTGAGTTACCCGTCCCATCTCTATTTAGTATTTGTTTGTCCATGTTCAGCATCAAACAGTTGTTGTGTATGCAGCCTCAACATGGTCTTAACAGGCTTCATAGCAGGCAAGGTCCTATTGTAATAAAATGCATATACAAACTGAAGAGTCATTATTTGTCTTGTATTTAAGAATCATATTATTAATGTGATACATGTAAATTATATATTGGTTATCATGTCTTTTGCAGAATGATAGACAGGCCCTTGAAACTTATTCGTAAGAGTGTAACTATATATTGAACTATCAATGTATTGCAATTGTTTGCCCATGATTGTCCTTTATCGATAGGAATTTTAAAGTGCCTATCGTGTTGCTGATGGTATCCATGACAATCGAGTGTCATTGCATCACAGGCGTCACAAAACTCAGTTTCAAACCTGCTATGTATTGATAGGAAGGATTAAGACATCTTGAGATTAGAGTTACTTCCCTTTGGTTTGAGTAGTGACATGGAGAAAATGGCTAGTTTTGACATTGTCAGCAATACTTTATTCATGTCTGTTACATTTATTGATATGAATATCAAGCCTAAAGTTGGTTAATACTGTCATTATACTATTGCAATAGTTGACAACTATCGCAAGACTATTGCAATAGATTGTGGTACTATTGCAATACTATCGCAGAAGTGAAAATAGCCCCAGCCTTTGCTTTTTATACTTGATCAGAGAAGAGGTGATTATTACTGTATTAAAACTGTTAGACCTAATAAATCCAGGTATCTTGGATTTGGAAATACATTCACTGGGGGAAGGTTTATTTAGAATATGGGCGGTTTTGTCGGCCTCTGAAAATATGGTTGGTTAGCTTTATTTTGTACCTTAGGCCAGACAATTTTGTTGCTGTTATTTTTGGGTCAGTAAAACTAACAAAATACATGACCATTTAAAAAAAAAAAATTGCTTCAAGGTTGATCAGCTGTGGTGATCACCAGATCAATCCTGCCCATGCCATATTGTCTCGAGCATGTCTCACTTGAAGCTGTGGTGATCAGCAGATCAATCCTGCCCATGCCAGATTGTCTCGAGCATGTCTCACTTGAAGCTGTGGTGATCAGCAGATCAAACCTACCCATGCCACATTGTCTCGAGCATGTCTCACTTGAAGCTGTAGTGATCAGCGGATCAAACCTGCCCATGCTAGATTGTCTAGAGCATGTTCAAGTGGTGATCAGCGGATCAAACCTGCCCATGCCAGATTGTCTCGAGCATGTCTAACTTGAAGCTATGGTGATCAGCAAATCAAACCTACCCATGCCAGATTGTCTCGAGCATGTCTCACTTGAAGCTGTAGTGATCAGCGGATCAAACCTGCCCATGCTAGATTGTCTCGAGCATGTCTCACTTGAAGCTGTAGTGATCAGCGGATCAAACCTACCCATGCCAGATTGTCTCAAGCATGTCTCACTTGAAGCTGTAGTGATCAGCGGATCAATCGTGCCCTTTCTAGATTGTCTGGAGCATGTCTCACTTGAAGCTGTAGTGATCAGCGGATCAAACCTGCCCATGCCAGATTGTCTCGAGCATGTCTCACTTGAAGCTGTAGTGATCAGCGGATCAAACCTACCCATGCCAGATTGTCTCAAGCATGTCTCACTTGAAGCTGTAGTGATCAGCGGATCAATCGTGCCCATTCTAGATTGTCTCGAGCATGTCTCACTTGAAGCTGTAGTGATCAGCGTATCATACCTGCCCATGCCAGATTGTCTCGAGCATGTCTTCACTTGAAGCTGTAGTGATCAGCAAATCAAACCTGCCCATGCTAGATTGTCTCGAGCATGTCTCACTTGAAGCTGTGGCGATCAGCGGATCAATCGTGCCCATTCTAGATTGTCTCGAGCATGTCTCACTTGAATCAGTTGAAGCTGTGGTGATGAGACCCCACAAGTCATTCTCCTCTCACCACTGCCAAGACATCTGCCTTTATTTCTTTGCACATGCTCATGCAAATGTGCCAGAACTTTGTTGCTATTTCAGCTTTGTGAAAATTGTGAAACTTGACCCTGTGACAACCCTCCGCTCCATGACCATGAAGAGGTTGTGGGATAGCTTAGTGGTTAACCCCGAAGGTGCAGGTTTGATTCCCCACATGGGTACAAGGTGTGAAGCCCTCAATACTTTTGAATACCCTTCCTCTATTACATCAGGGGGGCACGGGTGGCCCAGTCGTCTAAGGCGCTGCGATTCGCTGTACAGAGTTGCGTCCCTTGGCCACGCCAGAAACCTATGCTTGTTGGTTCGAATCCCGGTTTGCCCTGATTATGTTTCTAGGTTTGTCAGCACCATGCCCGTGCTCGTGGGTTTCACCGAAGTGGTAAACGTCTAAGACCTGCATCACTTCGGGCTTTCCTCCCACATTAAGCTGACACTCTGTGATATAACTGGAATACTGTTAAAAGCGGCGTTAAACCCAACTCACTCACTCACTCACTCACTCTATTACATCAGGAAGTAGTACCTCCCACCTCAACCTATCTATCTGTATCTAATGGATGTAGAGATTGGAAAGAGGTGATGATTCCCGTATGGTATGGTTTACAAAATAACTGGTTGGGATGGTTGACAGTGAAAATGTAGGGATTTCTTTAGTTGGATGTTAGCCAATTGCAGGATTAATGGCTATGGTGTAATAAAGGTAGTATTCCTCGAATTATACACAATGATGACTATTGCTTGATTTCCGGTATGGTCCGCCATGCTAAAAGTGGCTGTTATAGTCACTTTCTCCCTCACTGCATGATCATGCTTATCAAATTTAATGATTTTGTTTTCTGTGGAATGTTTGGTTTATGGTCATTATCAAACAATGTTTCTAACTTCACAATATCAGCATTAATGATAGGTGTGTAGATATGACAAGTGTGATGTTCATGACACCCTCTGATGTGAACACACCTGAACCTTGGCAGCTATTGATGTCTTAAGATATCTGGGGCGGTCGGGTAGCCTAGTGGTTAAAGCGTTCGCTCGTCACGCCGAAGACCCGGGTTCGATTCCCGACATGGGTACAATGTGTGAAGCCCATTTGTGGTGTCCCCCGCCATGATATTGCTGGAATATTGCTAAAAGCGGCGTAAAACCAAACTCACTCGCTTAAGATATCTAATAAGAATATAATATACAAGCAAAAGGTAATGGACCACCTGAGGGGGCACGGGTGGCCCAGTCAGCTAAGGCACCGCAATTCGCTGTGGGCACACCAGAAACCTATGATTGTGGGTTCAAATCCCAGTTCGCCTGATTATGTTTCTAGGTTTTTGACAGCACTATACCCCTGCTGGTGGGTTACACTGAAGTGGTAAACGTCTGAGACCTGCATCACTTCGGTCTTTCCTCCCACATTAAGCTTACACGCCGTGATATAACTGGAATACTGTTAAAAGCGGTGCTAAACACAACTCACTCACTCAGTTAATCTGTCGTCCATCAGGTTGCATTGGTGTAAGCTTAACGACAATTCTTTCTTTACTTGAATCCTGGGCAGTCAAGGGTTGTTTAGTGATACTGTAAGAATTAGGGTTTAAAAAAGTTTCTCAGGCAGTTCCTGTTTAACACTAATTAAAATATTCATTTATCTATATAAATAAATTCTGTTGTCCAAATAACGCTGTTTGCAATTAATCCTTGCCTAAATCCCATCTTCCTGGGTGTATACAGGTCATGAATTAATATTTCAAGCTCTTCAGCGAAAGAAGTGTTGTGCAATGTTATTGCTAAATGAGATGGAGCTGGTGACATCAGTTCCGGAATGAAGCTATTCTGGTTGATTGGTCCAGTGTAAATATATATTGTAATAGAATAAAGATGTGATACTGGATAATCAATGTGTAATGTTGAATGAATGAGTCCCACAACTGTTTTGTTCTCGGCTGTTAAAAGCAGCAACTCACTCACTAATGTATTTCACTGTTCTACTGACCGCCAGGGGCACGGGTGGCCCAGTCGTCTAAGGCGCCGCGATTCGCTGTGCAGAGTTGCGTCCCTTGGGCACGCCAGAAACCTATGATTGTGGGTTCGAATCCCGGTTTGCCCCAATAATGTTTCAGCACCATACCTGTGCCCGTTGGTTTCACTGAAGTGGAAAAAGTCTGAGGCTTGCATCACTTCGGGCTTTCCTCCCACATTAAGCTGACACACTGTGATATATCTGGAATACTGTTAAAACCAGCGATAAGCCCAACTCACTCACTCACTGGTAGACAATTGTTTTGTTTTTATTATAACACTGCCATGTACATGTCCTTACAAGGTTGTAACTCAAGCATGGGCTTTCCTTTCATATTAATCTCATTCATTTGAAATTCTCCTTTCTTTCTGCACATTAAGTTTTTTAGGCAAGCCATGGCTGTTAAAATATTTGTCAGTAAATATTGTCTTTCAGTGTTGTTTTACTATCTGTTTGGGGACTTGAGAGTTGTTATGAAATTCGGAATGCAGCTGATGAGATTGGCTTTAATTTTAATTCCAGATTTGCCTCGTCCTTCAGTGTGTTTGAAATTAAGCATGAATGTCAAGGGTCCCTTGTCAATGTCCTACTGATTAAAGTTAAAGATTTAGGGGGTCCTCTGATATTCAGATGCTATAGGAGTAAACCTGAATAACCCCAAGACACTCTAAATTTCAAACACTGCTTGTGTATTCTTAAGTCGTAAATGTCTGTTATCTTGGGCATTTCTCATTGAGCTGACATTCTTGGCAATCTCATTTAAATCATATCTTAGTGCTCATTTTGAAAGTGTAGTCGTGATTGGAAGTCACAAGTTTGAAACTAATGCCATAACGCTTGAGAAAGCTGCTTTCTGATCAGCTAATGTCGACTTCCTGTCAGTCATTTTTTGGTTCGTGCAAAGTTCACAAAAGGTAGTTCTGATGTGACCTGTAATGGGATGTCCTCAGATCTATGTGAAGTGGTAACGAGCACTGACATCTGTTTAAATGAGATTGACAAACCAGGATGCAACTGAATTATTGTTCAAAGAAGCTTGAACCAAATTCACTTCTTTACCCAAGTTGATGGTAAGAGACGACTGAAACAGGGAACCACTAGTTTACTTGGAGACTTGCGTTCTCTCGTCACGCCGAAGACCCGGGTTCGATTCCCAAC